GAGAGCGAGTATGTGCGAAACGGGGGAAAAGGGGGGGGGGGGGGGCGGGGGCCAGAGCCAGGAAAGCAGCAGGGACATCCTGAATAAGTAATCTCCAACAAATTGTTAAGGGCCAGTAGGCATTTCATCCTTGCAGCATCCCTCTGTAAATGAAATATCAGCATTGTGTGCATAACAGACTTTTTAACCATAGAATAATGTGACATTCTGAGAAAGTTAAAACCTCTGATATTGGAATCAACACACTTGTACATTAAGGTATATAGTAAAACTTACTGTGTAAGATGTAAAAACCATAAAAAGAACACACTGCTATAAAGTGCTATGGTGACATTTTTCCTGCAAGGATATTCCCAGGTACTATTGTGCTACATGAAGTGAGAAGCGCAGCATTCAAACACTCAATCAAATTTTCATGAGAATGTAAAATGTACCTAAACGACTAAATTCATTCAGCTGGTTACCGTGGCTGTAACCCATTATCTGGAACCCCACACAGTACAGACAGTTGTCATCTGTGTGTTCCTGCAGCCCAGTGTCCTCTGTGTTCTCCAGGAACTGGGAGGCGTCCGACCGGCTTGAGTTCATGATTTCTGTAATGCTGAACTGCTGTCGGAGAGCCTGGTAGGGGCTCCTAACCCCAGACCCGGTAATGCCTAAAATGCAATAAATAAAATGTCAGGAAGCACTTTAAAACCTTTCCTAAATGTGACATATATTAGCACACCTCATGAAGCAAATAGCATCCCAACAAGATAGCCTACATTTTTATAACAACCCAGTCAATAAGGGAACTGTGCATGAACATTCATTTTAAATTCCAAGGTAAAAAGTCAAGCCCAGCCCACTCTAAGTTGTCCATTGCAACTCAGCATCCACAAGAATGCCCATGTGGTAGGACAGCCCAGAATTCCAGGTATGCTACCCATCTGATGTTCGTAATATCTCTCCTACTTCGCAAAGCGGGAAATATGAAACCAGAGATGAATGTTATATAATTTACACTCTGAGAATTCAATTTAAAGTTCAATTTAAAACACTAACACAAGGATAAGGGTCTTTATAGTTAGCCATGTGACTCATTTTTAAATCATATTGGACACGTGCAGTACTATCAATTCTGGTAGATAATTATATTTAAAAAAAACCCTGTCAGGGTAGGAATATGACAGCCCCCATTGCTGACATATTTTCACAGGTCTGAGACATGGAGCTCTCTATTGCAAATCTTCTATACAGTACTTGGCAAGTCACCCACCTAAAAGCAAGTATTTGCCTATCGAATATGAGGGCAATGACCCGCAGAATGAAGGATAAAAATAACAAGTCTGGGGCATGAACCTTCAATGGCATTCCCCCTACCCCCATCCTGGCAGGTTTCATTTAAGGTAAACAAAGTAATATTTATCCTGTACAGATCTAGGTTTCAATAAGCTGTATTTGTGTATCTGGACAAACAAACAGTTCTCATTTTTATGTAAATTGATCATTGTAGTATTGTAGTATAAAGTAAAAATAAATAATTGGATTAAGTTTACCTCCTACTTCAGGTGCAAACATTTTAGCAGCGCGCTCTTCCGTTGGAGGCATCGTCTTCTGGAAATATGGAGTTTCCTTGATCTACAAAATCACACTTAATTTAGAGTTGAAACTTACAGCTGAAACAAAACTTTGGTTTCTTCAACCAGGAATAAGGTTTTCGTCTCATGGTACAAAGAATACTTTCCGCACTTTGCTCAGTATAATGTATTGTGTAGAAACATACACATTTTCTCTGATTCCCCTTTTTAAAAAAATCGTCCTGCTTTAAAATGCAAGAAGGGAGTCAAGTTACCAGATTCATTCTTTGAAGTCTGAACTAACTTAATCCCCAAAGTACATCATGAAAAATCAAATCCAGCATGGACTAAGGCAGGGGTGAACACCCTATGCCATTTTTACTAGGGATGCAACGGTACTAGTGCATGCCTAGTACATACCGGTACTCTACCAAATACTCCAATACTTACCTCCGATACCGGGACTTCCCGTCAGAGCGCAATCTCCCTCTGACCGGCAGTGCCGAGGGAGCATGGAGCCAGTTTCCTTTCCAATCAGGAAGCCGGGCGGTGGAGTTATGACCTGCCTCCAGGCTTCCTGACTGGCTAGGAAGCCGACTTCCCTCGTTGCTAGGCAGCCTGGCTCCCTAACCAATCCTGAAGCCGGGTGGCAAGTAATGACTCGCCTCCCTGATTGGTCAGGAAACCAGGCTGCTAGGAACAAGTAAAGCCGGCTTCCTAGCCAATCAGGAAACCGGGAGGCGGGTCATGATGTGCCGACCGTCTTCCAGATTGGATAGGAAGCCAGCTTCACTTGTTGGTAGGCAGCCTGGCTTTTAGGAAGCCGAGCAACATGTTATGATTCGCATCCCGGCTTCCTGATTGGTCTGGAAGCCAGGCTGTCCAGCAACAAATGAAGCCGGCTTCCTAGTTAATCAGGAAGCCAGGAGGCGGGTCATGACGCTAGGAAGCCGGCTTCACTTGTTCTAGGCAGCCTGGCTTCCTAAACAATCAGGAAGCCGGACAGCACCTCATGACTCACTGCCTGGCTTACTGATTGGTCAGGAAGCTAGGCAGCCTCGGCAAGTGAAGCCTGTGTTCTTTAGCTAGAATGTCGGCTTCACAGGCAATCAGGAAGCCGGGGGAGGGGTCATGATCCGCTGCCCCACTTACTGATAAGACACAAGCCACCGGTACTCTGTATCGGTGAGTACCGGAAAAAAACATCGGTACTCGATATTGAAAAACCGTTATCGGTGCATGCCTAACTTTTACTATTAGCACACAAAATGCTAACCAAGAAGTTAAATCAGCGTGGAAATGGTACTACTAATAGTATCATATATAATGACACCAGAATGGTACAAGAGGTGAGACTGTAAAGGCAAGCCTAAATATGAAACAGAGTGGCTGCAGCACAGGTAGGTGAAACTTGTATCTGCAAAGATGCCGCTATTACCCGGAATTCATACATAGGCAACATAGACATGGCAAAGGTTGTGATGGTCATACTAAACAATAACAATCTTGAAAAATATGAAAAATATCACAATGAAGCATAAATTTACCTGAAACATATCATTAATATCCATGGGCAAAGCTAACCCAATGTAATCATCCGAGCTGCCATAGGTTGCGTTTGACACCATGGATCGAACAGACGATGAGCGCTGCAAAGTGTTTTGGTTTATAGGACTTAACAAATCTTCTTTATCCAGTGAAGCGTAGCTTAATGCCTTCATGAACCTGCCAGGATCAAGGAACAAAAATCCAAAGAATGATGTTACCCAATCAAGTGTGCACACCGGAAAAATCTACATTGAAGGTCATTATGACAGATTGAATATATTCAGGATGACCCTGGTTTAATTGAATGGCCTTTTTGGGAGTTACCGTGAATTACAACCTACTTGTTGTTGGTTATTTATGGAGTCATGCGTGTTCCCTGGACTTCAAGTTCTCCTCCCCAGTGTGAATCATCTATGCTGCTATACTGAGTACAGTCCCAAGAGAGCCTGCTGGCATGTCTAGAGCAGTGGCCATCTGAAATTGTATTTTGGGAGGGCCAGACCCTTGGGTGGAGGCCTGGGTTAGCTAGCAGGCTCTGGGAAACTGCGACTGTAAGAGGGGGACACCAGAAATAAGAGACTGTTGGGAAGACCAAGAGAAGTTATACTGTGGGGTGAGCAACAGCCCCCCCTTCCCCACTAAAACAACAAAACTGGGGACAGTCTGCAGCTCGTAGAGTCACCTAAAGAACCATATGCCCGGAGTTAGCATCAGATGAGGCCTGAGCATTCACCTGGAAAAGCCTCTGAATTTGTATAACCCAACAGTCTCCAGTTTCTTGCATCACTCAATGAACCATAAAGAGATTTTTTTGAATCTGACCAACATTTATGTTTTGACACTTTGACGAATTAGGAATTCTATGTGAAAGAGTCAGGAAGAAACCTCCAGTAAGTGTGTCTTGGAATGTCTCTGCTTCATTACAAATAGTGTTTCCAAAAGGGAGAGAGTGTGCACGTGTGAGTGTGCTATACATGGATGAAGAGCTAGAAACCTGAACAAATAAGCTGAATTCCTTGTATGCATTTCAAGGCTTTCATTTTATCACATTACCTGCTTGATGTTAGTCTGGAATCTAAGCTTCCGGTCTTCATGGTTATGGTATCAGTGAAGAGAACGTCTTTAGCTGGAGAAGCCAAAGCTTCAGAATGAGAAAGTGAAGGATGCATTCGCTGCTGCTGTAGCCGTTTCAAAGTTGCATAGCCGAATGCATCACGAGAACTTGTATAGCTAAAGTGATAATCCGCCAAGCTTTTAATGGCAGCTATGGAGGGCGCCTTGAGTGATTGCGCTCTCCGAGGAAGCGTATGGGAAGACCCAGGGGGCACCAAGGACACAGAGTTTGACTTAGAAAGGGGCAAGTGATTGGGATGCAGCATGGCTGGCAGACTAGTTTTAACAGTTTTGGTGCTAATGACCGTACTCAAACTTCCACAGTCTGTATCGAGGTTTGTAGTGTCTATTCCCACAGTCTCTCTAGAGGGGCTGGAGCTCATGGAGCTTATGCCGCTAGTCGTCGTGTCTGTATTAAAACTCAAGCTGCGGCTCTTAAAGTGTGTATTCATTGTGCCATCACCTATGAGTCTCTCATGACTAGCATGGTCTCTGTGATTTGGAAGTTTCAGATCGTTTTCGGTAATACTGGGTGTGCTGCCATTGTTCTCTATGTGTTTAATGGTAGAACTTTCTGGACGAAGGGTATTTATTTTGGGAACTTTGAAATCGGAGCCCAAACTGTCCATGGAGTTGAACTCTGAATGCGTGCAAGGCTCTGTGACTGTTCGGTTCCGCCTTAGGCCCGGCTGCTTGTTGTCCGCCAGGAGTTTATTTGTTTTAGGGTCGCTGGTGCTGCTGGCCCGAAACTTCTTACTTGGCAGAGTCAGTGAATTCAGAAAACGATTTTTCACAAACTTGCTTTGGGCAAGAAGTGTGAATGGACTGCGATCCTTGTCCTTAAATGGTTTGTCAAAAAATATCTGCTCAGAATCATCTGTGAAGAAGAAAGGACTTGAAGAAATACCGTCTTCAATGAACATACCTATTTACAAAAGAGAAAACACATATATTAGACTGTATCTCTTACATGTGCTTAAAGAATATTTATATTCATAAACCTTGACATGCAAAATTTGCAACAAAAAAAAAGTAGTTAAACGCAACAAATTTCTTATAGAGCGTTCACAAACTTTCAATACAGGTCGAAAAGCATTGTCATCTAAACACAGGAAGTTACACAATATACATTTGGTGCACCCACCGCACCCTTTGTGGTAAAAAAAACAAAAAAAAAAACCCAAACAAATCCTATATGGTTTTTCAGAGATCTTTGGTCCATCACAGGTCATCTTTCTCTTCTACTGTTTTCTTTGGTGGATAAGTGCAGAATGGTGCAAAGGTCCGCCCCATGTAATGGCATGGTGCCGGTCTCTGCATAATACTCCTGTGTGTTCAGAGTGGCCTGATGACATACCTCCAGGGGCAAGGTCTTTGCCATCCTGGGAGTCATTTAACCCAATACATGGAGGGTATTGGATTTTTCTTTTTTATGAAACTGGAGTTGGGCTCAGCCAATAGTTGGACTATATTTTTTGACGGCAATAGTGGCATATCAATGGATCGTAGGAACAGATAAACTGCATTCCCTGAAAAACAACATGCTGCACTCTGCAAAGAAGAGAAATGTTTCACCCAATGCACGATAAAAAGTGGAGCAGTGCTTACTAGGAAGTGCGGATTCACTCTCGCTGTTGTGTCTTGAGCTGGTTGACTCAGAGTTCAGGCTAAGTGTACTAGGTATAGAAGACAGCTCGTTACAGAGCTGCTCCAATTCATCTGGAACCACTGGCCACAGGTGTCGTCTGCTATGTCTCACCGCATCCCAGTTGTGATGCTTCAGTATATCGCATCCTTGCTTTGTCTTGGAGAGCAGTCCGAGGACATAAGAGCAGGTCCTAGAAACAATGCAAAGTTATTCATGTGTAAAATCAAATCTATGCCATAAGCTATTAATTCCTGTTAATGTTGCCTTTGCCAAGTTCTCCATCTAAAAATGCTAGTTGTTTGGCTCTCATTTCTGGCCCTCAAAGGATTTTCAGACCCAAACTAAGTATGGAGATAAGGTCTTCTAGCATTTTTTAACTCACTTCTCCCAAACTGCATACATGTAATAGGTTAATGATTGAGCAAGTACTAACTGCTAGTAGGTCATCAGCATATTGCCAGAACTAGCATTTTCAGCAGTGGTAGCCCCTGCATATGCTTAATACATATTTATTTTATAGAGCTATATATTTGTAGGACTATATAACAATTTACAACCAATGGTATTTTATGACTAAAAGGTATTTGAAGATTCTTGAATCATATTCAATCCAATTACAATGTTAGCTTTTTTTTTTTTTTCATGACTAAGCTATCCCACACAATGGAAGATTCTCTTGGTATCTTTTTGGTGTATGGAAAAGGGGCAAGTGAGGTCACATTTATAGGATACATTTGTACGTCTTGGCAACCCTAGTTGTTAGTTGATCATTGTTAAAGGATTCTGCGGATACTTAATCTGCCCTTGCTCTTTCAACCCTACCAAAAAAAATGCTGAACCCAATCCGAAGAGATGGGTGTCTTTGATGCAGGAGAGAAGCTCTGCATTTGCATTTGGGGGCGCAATCATCTCCAGTCTACAAATAGCTTCCTTAAGTAATAGTATAAGCAGCTTTCTCAGCAGCACAGGAGGCTGTGCCTAGCCATCAGGAGTCTGAAGGCCACAGAGAATTAAACACAGGGACAACAGTCCATTTATTTGCACAAACTGGAGATACCCTTTATATTACAAAGGGGGATGTTTACATATTGGTGTTCCAACATTCTAGCAGTAGGAGCACGTTTTTCACTTGGTGTTCATTAACATCTTGATAGGACAGCTGCACTGGGGGCAATTCACTGCTATAAATAATAGGATTTTGTTCTCATCGTAAAATTATTTTCTTAAAGTCCATTGAGAGACACAGCTCTGAAGAAATTCTGAGACGAAGGGTTATGCATTATCCCCCTAATGTGTCCTGAAACTGAACTTCTTTTGGAATACTATAAGCTCAACTTTCCTCTTTCAGAGTTTACTTGTAAAAACATGTGATCTCTAACAAAGGGGCTTGAAGGCCCGATGCTATGGTAGCCAAGAGCAAATGAGTGACTGCCTTAACAGGTCTCCCATATTAAGGAAGGCATTTTAGCCCTTTTATTATTCTTCATTTAACTGTTCCAGAAGAATCTAAAACTAGATGATAGCTGTATGATAGGCCCAATAGTGCACATCTGCTTGCATGCTGCGTGTTTCCAGGGTGCTTGTGCATACATTTTGATACAGCCTTCATTTTACACCTTGTTGGAAGGCTGTTCTTATCGTGAGCACAAATGTAATGCTTGTGGTCATTAAGGGGTATGAATACCAATGTGCTTCAAATTACACAAAACCAACCTAGGCAAATCTCAGTCAGCATGACCTACTTATGTGGTATACAGATAGATGTGTCTGTATAATGGCAAAGCAGAATTATAAAGTTATCTTGAGAAATCACCTGCAAGTAGGGTGGACACTTACCCCCTAATGGAAAGTACTTCACAGTGCTGAGCAAGTGCAATAATATCTGGAATCACATTCTCCTCCTGAAGCAAGTTCAGTCCCCAGTTGGAGGACCCTATGTTACCCTAGAAAGAGAAATTAAGAATGACCGATTATAAGAGTGCAAAGATTTCACTTACTGCTTGCTGGACAGGTAAGGCTGGGTTCACACCTAGGCGTATTGAATATGCGCGTTTGTCTCGCGTTTTACCGCGATTCGCGGTACAAAAAACGCACGGCATACACGTGTATTTCCGAGGGCTACCTGGCTGTATCCCAATGGATACGTGTGGCAAATACGCCCCAAAGAAGCTCCTGTACTTCTTTGGGCGTAGGGTGTTTTGCAGTGCGTTCCTACACGCTGTAAAATGCCCAGATGGGAACCATGCCCATAGGCAATCATTGGTTTTCACATGTTGAGCGTTTTACAGAGCGTAGGAACGCGCTGTAAAACGCCCAGGTGTGAACCAGGCCTTAAGTGTTTAACTTCTTCCTTTACAGGGTTCTTCTGGCTGTATTCTTTCATAAAAGTTATAGGGTTGCATTTAAAACACCTGACAGTTTCTTTTACCGGGTTCCTTTGTCTGCACCCGTGCTGTGGCCACTATGATGGGTTCCTACATTCTGGATTTGTAAAATATTTTATATTCTGCAGAATGTAGCAGGTGATGTTGGAGAGGTGGGAGAAGTGGACAGGAACACCAAAAACACCTGTGTGGAACAGTGTCAGGAAATTTGGCATCCAAGACACAAGATAGGGGTGGCCTGCCTCAATCAATGATCAACTAGCTTTATTTGAAAAAAAAAAGACGAAAGAAATGAAATGATCGTGATAGGAACACAAGCTTTCTGGAAGGATACCCTCCTGAACCTACATACAACAGCACATTGTCAGGCAGTCTAAATAGTTGATACAACATAACCATGAGAAGGAGAACGCCAGGAAATGTTAAAATTAACCGCTGCAGTTGGCTACCCTCACACTGCAAGGGTAAGTGCTTGTTTTGGTCTAGGGGCTAAAATAAAGAAATAGTCACCTGACCCTTGGTCCTTGGTCCCTTGGCTATTAGACCGGCACTCGCAACCTCTTCTCCCCAGGGCTCCAAGGACCCGTGATGTAATTGCGTCCAATGCAGCTGAGGGACATTTCACTGCCAGACCGCAGGGGAGAGAGGTGAGCTGTCACCACTGCAGGACCGAGGATCAGGTGAGCATATTTTCTTTATTTTAGTCCCTAGACCAAAACGAGCACTTAACCCTTGCAAGGTAGCTAGCCCCACTGCTAGGGTTCATTTGGACATTTCCTGGAGTTTTTCTTTAGGCATTACTAACATTTTCAAGAGCTTTTGACTTACCAATGACCAAAGAGCAGCTTTAAGCTGTTTGATTCCTTCCCACTTGTCTAGCGATGGTGATCGTACAGTGTAGCTTAGATCTGGAACAATGTTCTAAAGAAAATAAAGACAAAAAAAGCTTTACAATGGGAAATACAAGCAATACACAGAGTTTCTATTCTATTTCCATGTTCTCTTATATCCTTCCGGCTCTAGCATATATATTCATAGGCAATGTATTTTTTTCTCACCTGGATCTCCAAGAGCTGACAACCAGTTTTATGATGCACCAGCTGCCCATACAAGTGAACAGGTAAATACACATAGGGACGCTGCACTCTAGATGAAAAGATAAAAAAAAAAAACAAGCTTGATCCACAAATGTAAATTGTAAAGTTAGTTCAATCATAGCTTTCAGTTACAGGAAACTTTGCTCTATTCACTCACAACTAAACTTGTTACTTCCTATAAAACATTAATAGTACATGGCTTTGAATGAGGCATCCTTTGACCATACTTGAGCTATTTGTTTGACTAGTCGGTGTGTACAATCATTTACCTCTGATTACTGCGTCGCACATAGTTATCCCCATCAACAGGCTTCCGATAGGTTGTGAGAGCCTCGTTCAGTTGCTCTTCTACCAGTTCAACATATTTCAGATTGTATTCCTAGGGCATGGAAAACAGAAGTGAATCCAAGCTGGTAAACAGGAGTTTCATTACAAACAATATGGTCAGGTAACGCGTGCTGTTATTAATCAGTGTCAGCTCCGCAGGCGCTTAGTGGCAGCCAGGCTGTGCATAACTGTGCATCCCATTTATTCTCCCTTCACAGATGCAGAACTGCACAACGTTTATGGAAAAGTTGCTGATGAAGGGGGTCGCTGTGCCCGATACTTTCAGCATTAGTTATAATAGAACAAATGAAATGATCCTGAGGATGGTTGCTATTTAGAGTTTTTTTTTTTCTTTTCTGATGAGACAAAGTTTTCATGACATCTTGTTGATATATCCCTGCCTGTAATTATTTTATCACATGCAGATAAAAAAAATGTAACCCCATCATGAGTGTTTATCTGCGCCAAGATTTTGCAGGGCGTTCCTGCACTAGGATGTAGATATACATTCCCCATTTTAAGATGTTCCAGGTATACTTGCATTTGCCTGTTTTGTGAACACGCTTGAGGATGAAATGAGCAAGCTCTTATGTGAAGCTGAACACACTGATCACCAGCATATCCCTGTCATTTGACAGTGACAGCACGACAAAACAATGCTGACAAAAACACAGCTTTTGTCATAAAAAATGTATCTCCCTTAGCAGATCAAAGCTCTATTTTAAGGTCTCCAATGTGATTTTTAGGTACGGGAGTACAGGTAAAACAGCTCCCATATATGAATTCCATCTGTGTATGTAGATGTTTGCCTGGAGTTCAGCTTTAAAGATGACTTCTTAAGCAGGCCATATACTGTTATATATTTTTTCGTTCAAACTGGAAAAAAATAAAATAACAGATTCATCCATTGCTTAAACAGCGAATCCTACTGGGCTATTGTATTCCGACAGCAGCAGATGTGCAGCTGTAAGAAAACCAGACAGTGAACCAACCAAATGGGTGCTGTCACTGTTCGCTCAAATTTTCCGACTGGCTCCTTCGAATTCCTGAACGAAGGATGCCAGATGGAAGGTTGCCAACAGGGCCACCCTTCATCAAGAATCAGCCGACATTTGTACAGTCTACGGCCAGCTTTTCTCTATAAGCCAGTTTGTCCAACAACCTTAAGTCCATAAAATAATCAGGTTTTATACCTTCTGCCATTTCTCCAGCTGCTTGGTGACATAACCCCTCTCATTTAAGTAAGAAAACCCCTTCGGAATTGACAGGAACCTGCAAAGAAAACAGCAGATTAATAGATAAGAAGCACACAAGGTTTGCTGTAGAATATAAACAGGTGAAAAGTCAGGTTTACCTTAGAAGTAGGAGCAGGCCCTTATCTCCAAGATGAGAGAGAGCAGGTTTCATCTGGATGAGTGCGTGTAGATTAGCCTGCAGGAGAGCACACAACGTGAACACCACTCAGAGCTTGTACATTACAGGAAAACTAATACAAAAGGAGAGCAGAGGAGTTGGCCCTAGCAGCCAATCAGTTTCTTCATTTCATTTCATTTTCCCACTACGCCTATGCCTGTGTTAGAACTCTCACATTCATATTACTCATCATTTTAGGTAGTTTTGCCTTAAAACATTAAACTTAATTTCCAAGATCGGAATACCATAAAACTAGGATAGTTACAGTAATCCTCTTTTCCCTACACTTAAAGAATGAAAGGAGCTGTTTACTCTTTTGATGAGACACTGAGGAGAGTTTATCAAAACTGGAGCAGACAAAATCTGGAGCAGATGCCCTTCACCTACTGTACCTATGAGAGCTAAAAAATGTTGGATTTCCCCATCACTTTCTGTACCAGAGACAAAGGTCACCAGGACCAAAAGAGATGGTAACTATTCATGGAGATATAAATTAAAACCTGACAAAGGTTCTAACACTTTCCTAGTCTATACAAAACTAAATTGGTATTCAACTGACACTAAACTCAGGAGTTAAATCTTAAAAATACATTTAAGCACCTTAACTATTAACAAACATGTATCTTATTTGTGTATCACTCGGCTGTAGATCCTCAAATCCTCTCTGAATTGGTGCTGACACTGTCCTTCCTTCTGTAGGGTGGCTACTTTTGTTCCCCATGGTCCCTGTGTGTGTTGTAAAGTAGTGACCGCTCCAAGCTCACTCCTGTCATAGCCTACAATCTCAATACAAATAAGTAAACTAAACGTGAGATTGTAGTCCATCACGGGAGCGAGTGACTATTTACAACACACACAGGGACCATGGGGAACAAAAGTAGCCCCCCTCCAGAAGGAAGGACAGTGTCAGCACCAATTCAGAGAGGATTTGAGGATCTACAGCCGAGTGATACACAAATAAGATACATTTTTGTTCTATTGTCTTTTAACTTGTGTATTGAAGAGAAGACAACAAGGTCTACACAAGAAGATCACTCAGCACTTACAGAAGAGAATGACTGAATAATTGGTTGCATCAGTTGAAAAATCTGTGACTGAAGTCCAGTCGCTCAGCACTCTTGCATCAGTCACATTGCTAGCAACAGAAGCTAAAGTGCTGCGAGTCTAACAGGCCAAATTATCGTCGGAGAAGGAAAAAAATACACCAGCTCTGTAACTGTACAATTGATCACAGCGGTAGAAGAACAGCAGCACCATTATCACTACAGATGAGATTTCTGAGGATACAGTCTAATCACCTTGTCTTCACAGGCCTCGTCCAAAATATCTAAGGCTTCCGTGGAGATATTTTTGCTTTTGTCATGTAGCTGTGTCACCAGTAACTCAATCCCCCAGTTGCTGAAAAACTCCACATTGGCTCTCAAAAGTACCCGCAAGTGCTTTGTTGCATACAGACGACAGCTCTGCGCACAAAGAAAAAACATCAGGTATCCATGAAGCAGCATTTTTTTTTTCCATTGAAGACACTGATTATTTAATATAAATTGTACATTACAAATCAAGACAGATTAGGTTTTGTGGTCTGTTATTTGTTAAAGTTCAGTAAATCCATGAACCCCAAATTTGAACACGCAACAACCGAAGTAACACTTTCTACTGGCGGTTTTAGCAACCTTTAGGATCAGTTCACAACTGTGCACTCATGAGGGTTTTTAACTGCATTCTGTATGCATTTCAGGCTGTTTCCGAGATATGACTTCCTTAACTATGGAGTCTATTTGAAGCAGAAAGGGGATGCCATTATCCACTAGATACTGCTGTGTTTCACATTCAGGAAAGGACTATTCTCTGATGAGGAAACCTGCTTCTGATGAAATGGATGGTTGTCACTTTCAAGGGATCCTTTGCTTTAGCTACGCATGGCAATGGAACTGGTTCCCCCAATTGTCACTCTACCTAACTGCACATACTTACATTTTCTTCACACTCCTGTCAGTCCTTTCTTCTACCAAGAGCAAAGAGAGGAAGACTTGTGTAAGCTCCAGGGGGGACTTGGAGCTTACACAGAGCCATGGACTTTCTTCTTTACCATGTGGCAATGCTAGGTCCATAAGTGGCCAGTCGCCAAGCACCAGCAGAGTCAGGTGAAAGGGAGGGGAGTGACTCCCATGCCCCTCATATCTAGAAGTGCCAAGTATTTCCCTTTGTTCCCGGGAACTGAGCAAAGGATAAGCGATATGTGCAGCTAGAAAGCATAGAAGCTAAGGAAACCTTTTGTTTTGAACTGCATGGGCAAAGCATAGACTTCCTATTCTTGGCACGGTAAACAGAAAGAGCATAGGGCTGCCCTAAGCTGGGAGGGGACATCCTTTTTCACCATTTATAGTAAACATAACTTACTTTTAACTAAACCGATGACATCAAATTAATGCATCTTTACTCTAACATGCATTATATTATGAAAAGAAGTCAGCATTCTAGTGGTGTCCAGCCACATGACCAACGTTGAGGCATTAGTCTCATTCTATCTGGTGATGCGAGTGATGTCAAGAGGCCCCCAGATGCATTGGCAGAAAGCAAGTGAGCAATGCCTTTGCATGATTCATGTGACCATTTACTATATGCAGGGCCAGCCTTTGGGAGTGGAAGCTGTGTGGCCGCACAGGGAGCCATGGCAACAGGGGCGCCAGGCGGCCGACATAGCTCTGCCTTGGGGCGGCAGGGAGTAGAGGGCAGCACAGCCTGCACCTTCTCCGCGGATCCCCGCTGCTCCCCCCTCTCTGCAGGAGCATCGGTAAATATCTGTGATCGCTGATCATTACAATGTTTGTAAACAACTGGGGACACATAGTATTGTGTGTCCCCAGTTATGAATTAACAGGAAGTGCTTTACATCACTTCCTGTTCATTCACGAGCTTCTAAATAGGTAGAAGCAGCCTAGTACAGAGGCTTCTATCCATTCATAACTGGTTGATAGTAAATATTTCCCCTCTCCAGTTTGTGGATGAATGGGAAGCCTCTGTACTGAGTGCTTTCTATTCATTCAGTGCTGAGGCTCCAGAAAAAGAGATGGAGGACTCTGCGTCCTCAATTTAATTTTTCTATTTCAAAAGGGAAATTATATTTTACAAAGCCCCCCTCCCCCCACAAACACACACACATATATTAAACACATGCAAGTGTGCCATGCATTTTGTTTTTCTAAACAGTATGCACTATGTAACATGCAGTCTAGGTTTTGTGTTCTGTTTTCACTTTTCTAGATACACTTTATATTTATAGACTATTTTAGTTTGACATTTATTGTTTACCACTTGTTTGCCTACTGTTGTTTTATTTAATAAGAATACTTATATTGTGCTTACAAGCTTACAAGGGCTACCCTTTAGAAAGTCCATTGGACGAAATGCGCAGGGGAGGAGCTACACACTGACGCTAGTGTATGGAGTGGAGGAGACAGAGCTGAGCTCATACAAGCCGATTTTATGTTTTTACAGCGCTGGAAAAACTCTTAAATGTAAGTGTTCTGATTTTTATGAATAAACTATCATCTAGCAGTTTTACACTATGTGCCATCTTGGTTTTCTATTTTGAGCGGATAAGAGAGATTTGGGAGAGACATCGGGCGGACTCATCACTTTCAGCTGTTGGCGATTTGGTGGAGAGGGAGACATCGGACGCCAGGGAAGTTTGCAGAGGGTTTAGAGACCACCTGGGTGGCCAGAATTATCTGGTGAGTGTGCTAGTGTTTGTGCACCTGGAGGTGGATCACTGGTGATCAATTGACGAGGAATTGAAACACAGAAGTCACGAGTGATTGTGGAACTTTATATGCAATGATTATTTGACTCACTGATGTAATACAAAGAAAGTGAGCACAAGGACTTCATCACATTTATCTTTGATCATATAATTTTTGGGAACATTTTTATATGGACTATATTGAAGTTGGAGTGAACATTTTGTATAATTGTCACTAAGTATATGCACTTTGCGCTATCTCTAATATTATAAAACTCTGTATCTTTTGCTTAATACTTACAAGTTTAGTACCTTGGAATAAAAGCTATTTTTATCATACTTTTTAATCTGTTTCTTTTGGGCTTAACAAAATGGGAGGCTTTAAATGGTGCAGGTATTGGAGAAATAGGTGTGGCCACTGAGGGGGTGGGGTCGCTGATGGGCACTGTAAAGCTTTCTCGCATAAGGCGCCTAAAGGCCTAGGGCTGGCCCTGACTATATGGATGAACAATTACCCTTACAAGGGGAAAAGCATATACTTATTGACTTCATTACCCTCTTGTTCATACAATATCATATCATGCAGGATACATTTGGCAATGAATGTGTATCCATTACAAGTTCCCTGTAAGTACACTCTTCAGAAGAAAAAAAAAGTGTACTTCATAAAAGTAAAAAGAATTGAAGATGAATACATAAAGAATGCATTATTGCAACTCATTAACTTCCTGCTGCACTTCAGGCAATACAGTAATAAAAAGAAATGGCAATAAGTAAGACTTACATCAGGAGATGCGGTTAACGTTTTGGAGAGGATGACTCTGGCAAGCCCATCTCGGCTGTAATCCAAGCTGGAGACTGCCAGTTTCAATAAGTGGTCTTGATTTTTAAGCGAGCAAAGATTTAGGAGACTGTAAAAAAAGAAATGAAATGATTACAATTTGAACACAGAGGCTTGCTGCAGAAGATTTACAGTACAGAAAAAGCTGGACGCTTATGCCAGATAAAATGCCTGTCTACAGTCGGGAGAAAATCCATAAATCCGACATTATTCATTGAAGCCATCCAGAACAAATGTATCATCTGAGACTGAAAAGGCAATGGTGCCTGAGAATTGATGGTTGGTGTAACAAGCATTGTATCCAAAGAACAGAATGATGTCTTCCTTCGTACTGGGCCACCAAAAAGAGCTCAACCATGTAAACAGTTAAATACACAGTTCGAACACTCACTGGAGCAATTTATTAGAATACCACAGCACAGCAATGGATATTGCCATTCAGATTTTCCCTTGCAGTGGGGCTGCTCATTAATGTATTGAGGAAATATTTTGTAAAAAGCTGCTTTACTTACCTGATCCCTCTGGCTCTCTCGGGGCTGCAAGGCGAGTCTCCGCAGCCTCTTCCTCCCTCCACCTCGGCAGTCTAAAGCTGGTCATACACCTATATTATCTGCAGATTTTCTATGGTCAGATGGATAAAGTGCAACAGATTCCTCCATCCACGCTAAACTGTGTGGATGGGGGAATCTCCCACTGGGCCAAGCCTCAGTATCTTGCTAGTTGGCTCTCAAAACACCTGAACAATGCCTCTATCCAATCAGATTGTTCAGATCGTCTCTCTGCTCCTGTGAGGAAGCGGTGTTAGACAGCACTGTGCAATCAAGCAGAGCCTGATGGGCTAAAAGTGCTATCCCCCTTTCCTAGTCTTAGGGCAGCCATCCAGCAAATCTGGGTACGTTAGCGAGCTGTAAAACTGATAAAATTGTAGTTTTTACATCTGTCCGCAGTGCAGCTTTAAAGTGTGTAGGCGTGTAACAGGGTCTTTGAGTGCTGGAATCCATAGTACTTCACATAATTGCTCTGTCACAGACACAGTGAATGAAGTAAGGTGCAGTTCACCAAGAAAAATGTCTATCCCTGAATCCTTTTTTGTATTTGGCCTTTGATAACAGATGGTCTAGAATTTAAAGTGGAACTAAAATCTGTAATACCTATATCGCCCTCCAGCGAAGTGGTGTCTGCAAGCTCTTTCGCACCTTTGCTAAATGCCTCCTGCACATGAGCACGGGAGTTGAAGCCTAACTGCAGGCATAATACACTTTCTGGAGTACAATAAGTTGTACAGTACCTTTTTTTTTAAACCTGTCATATTCAGCACTTTGTGGCCAATTACAAAGCAAACTGCCTCAGGCTAAATTTTGTGACTGACCAGGAGGAGAGGACGACGGAGATGCGACTGCAGCGCTGAGGTCTATGAGACCTGCAGCGCTGCAGCCGGAAAGGTCATAGATGTTCAGCGGGAGCTGGAATACCACCTGCAAGTATACCTAATGATTTGCAGGCAGAAATAAATATGATAGGTAGGTTTTAGAACCACTGTACCAACTTATTGTAATCCATGAAAATGATCGGGTCTGGTGTTGGACTATAATTCATCCGTGCACGAAGGTATGCTGAGAATGTACATTTAGGAGAAGAGAAGCTGGCAGACAGAAAAGGGACTTTTATTTCAGAAGAAACAAACACAGGATACCTGCAAGCAAAAGGATCACAAATGCACTAAAGTTCCACCGATTTATTTATAGAACTAAATGTAAATCCAATTTTCACAGCCTAGGTAAAAGACACACAAGGCGGAAGCAATTTACAAGTACACAAAACCAACTGTGTATACTTGCACATGGAGGGACATAAAGTAAAGCTATGTATTAATGCTCACCCGACAGCATCAAATATGGAATTTATTTTGCACATAATTCCACTGTACGGAGACTTACCACTGAAACATATTGCACTTCTCCAGCATCTTGACTCCATGCGGGTGGCAGGAGAGGGTACCAATAAACAGAAAGTAGTACTGGCTGAGTGTGTTCAGTAAGCCGTTGGTTTGCAGACTGCGCTCTTGTTTCATGCCCGATGTAGTAGTCAGCCACAGAACAATGTCCTTTACTAACTCCTCCAGGTAACCCTGTCCATCCTGCAAGAACAGTCAGTGATTATAAAGTGTAACTCCATCTTTCAGAGAAGTATTCTTACAATACAGTTTGCAGCTCATTTTTCAGATTGATTTCACCTTATCCTCCAATTCCTGATGTACACCTTCATTTTACTAGAAGATGGCAGTTTGTTTTAAAAACAGCATAGAAATTGTTTTTCTAATGGTCGGGTATGCATGTAACCACACATTGTGCTTTCTCTGGTATAGCAGGATTTGCATAGTAACTGTCACTGAAGATTTGCTCTTAGCATTGACTGAAAGAGAACATTACGGAGAAAGAACAGCTTAAAGCGGACCTTCGGTGCCTAGGTCCACCTTAGCTCTCTGCAATAACTACCCCAACCCCGCCCCGCCCCCTCTTATTCTAAAATGGTGGTGGAGGGGTGTTTACTTTTGCCCGGACTCACCATCTGCCACCATCCTCGCCTAAGCAAGAATGACATGTCCTCCACCCACAGCCTCTTCAGATATCACTGTCACATATTCCAAGAGGCTGCCGGACCAGGGACTCACAGCGTACCTGGCTGCATGTCATTGGGGGGCCGACTGAGGAACCCGGAAAAGGCAGCCCATTTCCAATGAAGTAGAGGTCCTTGGTAGCAGATCTGCAGATCACAGCAGGACAATGGGGCATTCGCTGGACAGGTGAATTTGTTTTTTGGTGAGAACCCAGCATTATAGGCAGCACTTTGCCTTGCTATTATATGCCCAAGTGAATTTTTGGGATATGTCCATTTTAACAGGCTTCAGTATGTGTGTTCATAGGACTGTGGTAGTGGCATCACAATGGTCTCTTTGCTACTTTAATACATTGCTCCTCTATAGGTCTCCCTGCTGTAGCACAGTTTCAGAGAACATTTCATACATATCAGTGTTCCTTCTCTCTTCATTAAAGAACACCTATAATGGGAGTTTTGAGACCACAAGCTTTCATACATTATTATTATACAGTATTTATATAGCGCCAACAGTTTGCGCAGCGCTTTACAATATAAGGAAGACATTACAATCACAATACAAATTCAAGGCAAGATGGTAAGGAGGGGCCTGCCCCTGAGGGCTTACAATCTAAAAGGGAGGGGGAAGTGATACAGGAGGAGATAGCTGTGTGGGGATGAATTGTTTGAGAATGTAATGGTTCAGTGGTTAGGTTGAGGTGGGATAGGGATACATCTGCACTACATGCATTTATTTTATAAAGATATTTTCAACACTTCCAACAACGGCTGACTGGACATGAAATAACATGGTGTAGCCATCAAAACGGAAAGAACATCTAAACGGCTGCTATAATTCATCTTGATGTGCACTATCAAACCTCTCACCAATCTAAAAATACAAACTGTAACATTATTTCTTTTGCTATTAAAACGCAAAACCACTTGAACCCTGCAAAGCCGGACATAGAGACTTTTGTGCCTGTGACGTCTGCCGAGACATCTTGCCGAAAAGAAAAATGTTTAGCGCATGCTATTTGCGCTGCCATTCATTTTAATGGCACCCCAAAAGCACTTCCCGGCAGTATCGCAATACTTTTACACAAATCTAAATACATTTAGATGACTGGTAACCCAATTCATGTATTGTGGGTGCATTATGTAATTAGCGTAACTCTCCAGTGTGAAAGAGCCCTTCACATGGCTTGTTTCATAGGAAAAGCTGCAGTTTTCTTAAATTATAACTGAAATGGCTGGCTACTATAGAGAAGAAAAAAAAATACATGGCATACAGGAGCAGTCCTTTAAAAGGAAACTATGATGGGTTGAGGGAAAATTTGTTATTTTAAGTATAAACATTTTATACATTTCTTAAGGATGGGGTGGAGGAGTCAATCCAGTGAACATTCAGCTCTGTGCGTAAATATTAGCGTAAACTGTCAGGAAGTCTTTACACCTTTGCATTGCTGTAACGTACCTTGGGCATATCTGTGTGTCGCGGTCATTTTATAACACCTCTAAAGTAATGCACACTTGTTTCAGCGCACTGCAAAACAGGGTGACGCGCTACCATACATTGTGGTGCACTGTGTTTCAAAAGAAAAATGGTCAGGTGCAATTTGTGATATGCCGAAATGCATGAAAGGCCCTTCAAATAATGGGCTGCCCTGATGTAACACACGTTAACATGCGTGCATAAATGCTGCGGAAAGGTGTAAGGCCGGCCTTAAGGTTGTACACAGCTGGCTTTTTTCATCAGCAGACATGGATTTTGAGGAAAAGGAGCTCAGAGCTCTATCTGCTAAATGGAAAACAAAATATTCCAATGTATTATTTCATCCCCTTTGAAGTGACCTTTTCCTTTTCTCTTCCACAGTAAAGTAAGAGGGTCACTTAACTTACCCACCCAGCAACATATACTCCCCTTTCATTGTTCTTCTGCAGCTCCATTCAGCCACCTGAAGTGTTCTTCTGCCGCTCCATTCAGACGCCTGAAGTGTTCTTCTGCCGCTCCATTCAGCCGCCCGAAGTGGAGAACCCGGCACTTCCAGGTGAGAATGAGCTTGCGACTCTCTTCTCCAATCTGACAGCACTGGTGCTTCATAATTGGCCCAGCACTGTCACATTGGCCCCGGGAGGAAGTCCATAGTCCAGTGTAAGCTTTAACAAGTCTGTCTGGAACTTTCTTCCCCCGGTCTGAGCGTCTGAACAGGGTTGGACAGGAGCAGAAAAGGTTAGTATATGATGCTAAAGGGAATTAGGGGGGCATTGCCTGTAAGTGACCCTGTGACTTTTTTTGCCCTTCATGGACTCAGGAAGGGTGCCTTAAAAGAAGAACATTAGGCCGGTATTGATTTTAAACATTATACACTGGATTATTTTCATGCAAGAAAAAAATCCCATTAATTAATTTTCTGGAACAGAGTTTCTTTAAGTTCACATGCGCAGCAGCATATGAGTATTTCAGTTAATGATGTTTTTCTTACTGCTGTGATAAAGTGAGAATTTGACACTCTAATCTAAATGTAACTCACCTCCTCTGACTCCAGCAGGAACTCTGTGAACTGGCAACCTACTACGGTCAGCTTCTTGGCATTATTGTAGTCCAAATCCAGATTGGCATAGAGCTTGCTGCTGGGCTTGTAAAAATACAGTAGTCGCCGTACAAACCTTTAGGCGTGAGAACAAAGTGAATCAAGTTACAGAAGTGGAATGAAAGCTAAAGCTGTGAAGAAGTTACTTATTCATTCACTTTAATCAAAATATATATGGAAGTAAAGGAGGAGTGATGTGTATACCTGTGTAGCTGCTCATCTTTACAGTTTTTCAGATTCACATTTGGCCACTAAAACAAAAGAAAAAAGAAAAAAACAGTTGTGGTTTAAAAATTTGTGACACTTTACACAATTACTTTTTTTTTAATGCTTTATAGATAAAAGCCTGCTTGCTTTACAGGCCACAATGTTAAAAGGCATAGTCCCACCTTTTGGAAAAAAATAATAAATGCACAGACATTAAAAGGGAAAAAATGTGCATTCATTAATTTTTCCCATTGAAAATGGCAACCATTGCAACCATGATCGGTGGATCACAGATGCAAATGTACAGGGATCCTGCAGACTGTTTCTCCAGCTCCATACTGGGGTACGGACCTTCTGTTAGAGAGCTGGAGAAAGTAAACAATGGATTACAAGTGGGGTGACATCGCTGAACTACCGCTAAACTGAGATCTACGAGTCCCTCTGCCTCTTGTCTTTCCATTCACAGATCCCGTAAATGGATGAGAGCACAACTTTACCAAATCCAAACCTATACAGAAGCCTGCAGGAAGAAGAACCTCATGATTCATGTTTGTGGGAGGGCATTTTGAGAGTGTAAGGGGGGGAGGGGAGTTGGGGGTGCAATGTTGCCATGAGTCATGTTATACCTTAAATATGGGAATAACATGAAGCATAGTCAGAAAGGTGGACTAGTCTCAAAGTAAAACGGTGGACTGAAACTATTAAAAACGCATCTGAATGTACATTTAGGGTATCCATTTGAACACCCAAAGAGCCCCAAAACTCAAAACAATTGATAAGCGCCAGCCTCATCCTCCCATGTGTCAGAATTAATCTCTTTGCCATCATTCACATGGGCCTGCTTCCCATATCAATTCCCCCCCGTGTTTAACATGCGTTTAGATGCATTTAGAGTGGCTACTTTTTTTTCTACACACAGCTAAGCACAAAGTGCAAATTATACCATTTAAAATAATTCTGTGCATTTATATAAAAATCATTTATCTACATATAATCGCATACCTGTGTGAATGAGGCTTTTAGAGTAATGGGCAACCCAAATTACACATAGCAAGGTTTGTGAGGTCACAACCCGACCTTTTGCAAATGTTAAGATTTGCAGAGTTTTGAGGCTTTGAAGTTGAATATGCTTAAGAAGTCCAATTCTTTATGTTACGTTTATATCTCTTTACATGGCTCTTCTACATTTACATGCTAACATCATTTTACCTGTCTCCTCTACACAAACCTGTAGCTATTAAAGGCTACATGTTGTGCTGAATGACTGCTTAAATCTGAACCGGTATAAAGAGACATTGATTAGAGCGTCACTGTAGGGAAGACACTATAACATGTCAGGGTACAGAGTCCGAATATCTGCGACGGCAGAGCACCCCAGGAGCCCAATGAAAACAACCTCATAAAGTTCTAAGTATAGACAAGCTCCGCTCCATGATACTTCCCATATTCTGACTAACAGAGATTCAGTATTCACATGGGCACTTCAGGGGGGCTCTGTGTAGAGAAATATAATAAAACTAAAAGGTTTTGTCACCCTATGGTGCCTTCCCTGAAGTTAAAGCAGTTTACTGCAGTGGTTGTACCTGCAGGTTTGCTTAAGATCAAGAACAGAACAAGAGACTTTATGATCGTGCTGTATTCCATACTGTGACATCCCCACTGCTACCAATTCCAAGAAAATGGGTTTAGCAATCCAATGGACTGTGACTAGATTAACCACGTCTACTGTGCTGTTTAAAATACATATGTAACCTTCATGTACATATGTAATCAGGAAATAAACATTTATGTACATAGGTAATACAGAGACTTTAAAAGTATCAAAAATGTTATTATATAAACTGTATCCTAAAGTCAGTCTTATTTAAACTGTCACTCTTCCTCTAGACCCTTAGTGCCCTTTCACACTGAGTGTTTATTCACGCGATTTCTGCCGTGATATTGCTCATATTTGCCGCACGATAATCGCGAGAAGTCGCTCTACTAATGATTTTCAATGGTGCTGTTCTATTCTACAGCTCCATGTCGCCTGTCGCTTGTGCAGGACCCTTTTTCCCGCAATGTCGAGCGATTTCCCTACTCTTGCATGCAGCACGCCGGTGAAGGTTGCGCGATCGTCGCTGGAACGTCGCCCGAACAGTCGCGCTATCCCGGCCACGTGGAAATCCGCTCGAGGTGTCGCTCAGTGTGAATGGGGGCTTAGGGCTTGTTCACACCAAATGCAGACCAGATCTGCATGAGTTTCTGCACACGCAGTGCAGTGGGTTGTGCTGCGTTCCAGGCCATTTTTTTAGCCTAGAATGGACTTTCAGTGCGTTCCAGGGCGTTTGCATGCGTTTTTGATGCGTTCCAGAGCAGGAAAAATAGGGCTTGCTGCAGTTTTTTTTTACATGCTCTGGAAATGAACGCTCTGGTGTGAACTAGAGCCCAAAATACCATTGGAATACATTGGACGCAGTTTTGATCCGGTCTGTAACTGCTCTGCTCCTGGAACGCGCTTGGTGTGAACTTGCCCTTAAGCACTCAGGATGTGTAGAAGTCCTCCCTACTCCAGAAGAGGGCAAAACAGAATATCATATAAACACAAATAATGAATTAAGATCATTCCGTACCTTGAGTATGGTCCCTGTAAGATTCCAGTTCCATTCAAGATTCTCTTTGTGATTGAGGACTTGGCTGTCTCTCAGATTCATTGCCAAAGCTTCTTCTGTATCCTACACAACAAAATATTGGAGTAAAGAGGTAAAACTTACACACGTTCCCTAGACATTAACAAGCAGTTAGCCCTTGCAGTGCAGAGGCAGGCCAAGGGAGTTTTTTCTTACCCAGATACGCTGTAAAATGTAGTTCCACTTTTGCAGCCAGACTGGGATAACATCTACTTTATATTTGTTATATGTTTCCATTCTCATTGCAACTTAAAAAATAAAAAATTGCTGCTTACATTTTTAAGTGTGTCTTACTTGCTTACAAAACCTGCCTAGTTTCCCCTTACATAATGTTAATCTTTTACAATAATGAACCCTGTCTGTACGGTGCTGACAGATCTCATTATCAGTTGTAAACTAGATTTGAACACTGTCTGTGTGAACAAAGGGTTAAAGCCTTCAAGGCATTGTGTGTTAATGATAGGAAGCTCAGTCTGACCATCTAGTTTCACTCTCAAACTGCTCAGGGTAGCCTGGAATCTGCACAAAGGCCTTCACCAAAGACACAGCTAAAAAGCTAAGATATATTTATTTGTAAAATATTTTTAGATATGCTGTGTGAATAGGAACATAAACATATAGTGGAATTTCTGAAAATTGACAGCAAACGTGGAACTACACTTTAAAGATAGATAAAAAGACATTGCATGTTATTGCAGAGTCTTAGACTTCAGTCTAAAGGTGTCTTGCTGCATCCCTTACCAGATTTCCCACATAGGTTCCAAGGTAGGAGCTTCCAATGACTGTGGATGGCGCCGCTGATAATCACATTGCAGAAATATGTCACCAGCACACCAAATCGATTTTCAAAACAGAAAAACGCCCATTTATTGACGCATGCTGTCATCTCTGAGCTTGATAAGAGGGACCCTGCGTGGCCCCGAAAGCGCTTGTATTTGAGAGACAGCATGTGTCAATAAATCGACATTTTTCTGTTTTGAAAACTGATTTGGTGTGCTGGTGACATATTTCTGCAATTAGTCTTCAGTCTGTCTCTTATCGCCACACTGACATCTTTCTAGAGCAGTAGACGCTGCCCATAGAGTCCTATGTATAAACCCCAAAGAAACAACTAAAAATGTATGAAATATTCTTTTTAGGTATGCGGAGTGAATGGGAACACGTAAAACATAGTCCGCGTTTCTCAAATTTGACTGCAAAGGTACCCTTAGTCTTGAATTTCTTTCTGGATAACAGCAGTGCACTTCCTTACACGTGTATGTGCCTAGATACTACTCTTCTGTTGTCTCATAGCTGTATATTTGCTGTGTGAAATCATTTAAGGCACTTTGCCACTGACTGCTAGTTTCAGGATATTTAGAGTGGGATTTAGGGACGTCACTACTGTTCTGGTCATGGTTATCCTTGCTGGAGTGGAAGCTGTAGCTGGGGAACTGCAGTGCAAGAATCTGTCTGCTGCCTTAATTCTGGGGATCTGTGATATCTCCACTTCTTCAATATTCCCCGACTAGATATAAGGCACCAGCCGTCATGGGTGCAGCACTGACATAAGGAAGCAAAGCTCTGCTCCTCTACCAAGATGACCTCCTCCACACCAAGACACAGTGGAAATTATGCCATGGTAAGTTAGTAATGGAGAAAAGTCACTTGTCTAGTAAAAGCAACGCCTGCAGTGGAGGGCAAGTTATAAGTCTGCTTCAGGCAAACCAACATTCTCTATGAGCCAACATGGGGCAGATCAACACACATTTCGTCATCAGGAAACACAGTCTACCGCTACTTAAGTATAGCTGTCACTTGTAGATGTAAACAAGGCACAAAAGAGACTATACACAGTAACCTCATCAGCTACTCATTTGAGAGTTCTCCTTTTTGATGAAGGAAAAGCACTTTTCTTCCTACCTTCAGTATAAAAATATCCTTTTGTACACGCAGGTGCTGGTCGCGTTTTTGATGGGTAGCCATTGCTTTCTGTACAACGTGATCTAGATACAAGCTGTAAGGTTTCGGTCCTCGTTTCTTCATTTCATGGAAGCGTTTCAAGCAGTTTAATGCCGCACTGGCCCGTCTACAAATTTTAGATCACACATATTAGTCTTAATGTGGCTGCAGGTAGAACTGACACTCACATTTCAAATTTGCACCATGATTATCTCAAAATCAATTTAATCTCTAAAAGTTAACCTTAAAAATAACAACCTATGGAACGAAGTTAAACTCAACAGACCAGTTTGGAAGACCGAGCAGTATTAGACCTAAGACCAAGTAATGCTTTTTAAGTAGAACTCCAGAAAAACTTTTTCTTAACCCTTGCAGTGGGGCTACTCCTGCGCTGGAAGGGTTAAGTGCTTGGTAATATCTAGGATCAAAAATAAAGATATACTGAAATACCCAACGCTCAGAGCAGACCAGCTATCATAGCGCTCCCTCCAGCCTTTCTCCTCCTCTGCTGCAGGAATCTTCCTCATGTCTATACACTGTGTATAGATGTGATGATTTAAAGTGACATTAAAGTCAAAAAAATGTTTCCCTCCACCCAATGTTAATGTCAGCACTTACCTTAACTGTCTCTTAATCTAATCTTCCTCTTCTTTCCCGTCCTTTTCAGCCTTCTCTCCAGCGCTGCTGCGGGTCTCCAATCCAGCGATGACTTCTCTGTCCTTGCTGGTACTTCCTGCCCCACAGTGTCTGCATGCGGGTGCACGCGTCCATATACTTACCCTGTGTCTCTCGTCTCCCGGCCAAAAATCCGAACTGTGCCCGCCCCAAGATGCTTTGCGGCCGTCTGAGCAGTTTCGGATTTTCGGACGGGAGCAGTAGATATATGCAAAAAAACCGGAGGGTTTAGAGACCCTTTAAGGAACCTTAGACCGCTGCAGAGGAGGGGAAGAGAGGCTCTAGAGACTGGTCTATGAACAAGCTGGGGCAAAGCATCGAGCGAGTTTAACTTTTTTTTTACTTAGACACAAATGAGCAGTTAAACCTGGCAGTGCAGTGGTAGCCCCACTGCAAGGGTTAATAAACACATAATCCTGGAGTAATTCTTTAAATGTGTATGGTCAGGGTTAGCAGAGAAACATATCGAACTGAAAGTCCTGGAACAAATGCTTACAAGCACATTGACACAAAGGTCTGTATTCAGAAAGTGCTGCTTAGATGTGACATGTGCAGCTTTTTACATTATGAATTAGGAATGCAAAGCATGTCATTAGCAGCCTCTGAACTTTCAGAACTACTGCTCAATAAAGTAAACAGGATTTTGATAACCTGCATCTGATGTTTTAAATGCACATCAAATGCAGGAAAACATCCCAACCACACAAACTTAGTATCTTATATATAAAACATACAGCCTTTTTTCCTTGGGGATGTCAAACGATGCCGCCATGTTCATCAGGGTTGGTAAACAATGTAAGTGATGGCTGTGTGAATGGGGAAGGATCGTGTTTGCCTGCAGTAAAAAAAAAAAGAAACAGGAAGATTTGAAACAATATTCAGTTTTATGCACAGAAGTCCAGTATTTTTTCCAGGTAATCACCAATAAAACATACCATGTGCAAGAGCTCCCCTAGGATGATTGTTGCTCTGACAGACACATCATCATCACTGCTTGCTATCACCTCCACCAGGCCCTAAATCAAACCACACAGGGGTTATATGGAGTAGGAAGGACAGACAAGCACAGCTGCACATGACTTTTCCGGAATGCTTACCTCCAACAAGCCATTTGTAATGAATGCAGAAAGTACAAGCGCTAGATAGTTGTCAATGAGATCAGGCCTGTAAAATTAGAGATTTTCTGTATGAATATTCTGAGTTTTAGACCAAATGAACAAAAAAAAAATAAAGTACTACAAACTGCAATAACTATATTGCCCACAGCAACTAATCAAAATCAGCTTCAGCAATCCTAAAAATGCATTCAGGTACCTTAACTATTATCAAAAATGTACCCTGTTTCCCTGAAAATAAGACCTAGTACTATTTTTGGAAATTGCTAAAATATAAGACCTACCTTGAAAATAAGACCTAGTTGTGACCATTCCCAGGGCCGGTGGTGGCATAAGGGGGAACCTGAAGAGCCGCAGGAGAGAATCAGAGGTGCCAATGAAGCCAGCGCTAGAGGAAGCGAGGCGGCAGCGGAGGGAGCAGAGCCGCATAAGCTGATATTTCCTCTATAGCGCCGACTCCTGTCACAGGCGGAGTGATACCAAATGTACTCCGCCTGTGAGGAATCGATAGTGAAAGCGCACTTCGCTCATTCTGGTTACCAAATTGCTCTTGGAAAGGTACGGCACCCCTGATTGCCCTGATCACCATATTCTTAACTTTACCATTTTGTATTATTTAATTTGGATTTGCACTAACTTTGGATTGTTATACATTTAAAAAAAAAAAAAATAAGACATCCCCCGAAAATAAGACCTAGTGTATTTTTTTGAGCCAAAAAATATATAAGACAGTGTCTTATTTTCGGGGAAACACGGTATCTTATTTGTGTATCACTCGGCTGAAGATCCTCAAATCATCTCTGAATTGGTGCTGACACTGTCCTTCCTTCTGGAGGGGGGCTACTTTTGTTTCTCATGGTCCCTGTCGTGTGTAAAGTAGTCACCGCTCCAAGCTCACTCCCGGGATGGACTACAATCTCAATACAAATGAGTAAACTAAACAAGATATTGTAGTCCATCACAGGAGTGAGCTTGGAGCAGTGACTACACCACACACAGGGACCATGGAGAACAAAAGTAGCCACCCTCCAGAAGGAAGGACAGTGTCAGCACCAATTCAGAGATGATTTGAGTTATACACGAATAAGATACATTGTTGTTTAATGCATTTTTTAAGATTTAACTCCTGAGTTTAGTGTCACTTCAAAGAAATGTTGTAGTTAATCTGACTACTTTAATCTGATGTTTCTGTGGGTACTGTACTGAAAAAAAGTCCAGAAAGGCTTTATTTTAAGGGATTCAACTTTTTCATGAACAACTGTCCTTATAATTTCTGATCTGCATGCTTGCTCTAGTTCTTGACTTATAAAGTACCAATGCCAATGGATCAGAATGCCAGTCACCTAGCATTTCATTGGGGGTGTTAAGCAATAGTAACCAACTCATTTCTCCCAGTAAAACTTTCCAGTAAAGTCCATATGTTGGCTTGGATCTGAATGTCAGAGGTTTAACATTCAACATGCATTTCATACAACTGTTATGATTACTTTCTGTTGGTTATTTACCACAGATGAAATCCCAGGTCTGATTAGTCCCCTGCTAGCATCTTATCAATGGCACCTAGCACATACCTGGAGCGCGCTCGATGTGGAAGAATTATTTTAGCTTCTGCTGCAACAAACTCATCTGAAAGCCTCCAAGACTCCTGAAAGCGACTCGGATCTTATGATAAGAGAATGGATATGTATTACATTTAAACATTCAGCATCCAAACGATTCTTCAGATCACAAGATACATTCTTTGATTAAACTATCTACAGCCAATTATTGTTTTTTTTCTTATTATGGATAACGTAGCTAAGAGTTCAAACCCGTGAGGTTTATTATAGCTGTGTCCTCACTGGAGAGCTTCCTCCTCCCTTTTTGATTTGATGAACATTGTCATCGGGACTAAAATTGAGGCAAAGGTCTGGGCTTTAGCTGTCACTGAACTGAAATAGATGGAAGATCTACCAATGGGGACAATTGTCTTAAAGGAAAACTATGAGTTGAGTGATTTCCACTTACCTCATAGTTCTAGCCGACCTGTGACAATGATACTGTCACAGGTCGGCTCAGTAGATCGGGAGGTGAGCGAACAGATACCGGCATTCGCTCACTTCTCGATCCTGTCACTGCTCTCTGCCGTGACAGGGGAGGGGCTGGATTCCTCCCTCCCCGCTCCAATCCGCCAGCGCTGACTGGCGGAACGGACGAGGGATGGGGCGGATACAGCTGGCTCTGCCTTTAGATAGGCAGAGCCAGCTGTCACTCACGCAGCTGGGCGGATCCCGGCACAATTGTCGGGATCCGCTTCAGCTGCGGCGTCTCAGTACACCGCGAGCTACAGCTTGTGGTATACTGAGCCTAGGGTAACGGGAAGACGCTAGTTTGTGTCCTCCCGTTACCCTAAAGAGAACTTTGAGGAAAAGACTTAACCCCATAGTTCTCCTTTAAGGGAGGATTTTCCTGCCTTTGAAGAGATCCCCTTCTCATTCCTTTACAGGTTATGTATCCATTCCCTTCTCCATCTGAAATACTAGGAGATTCAGAAAGAAATCGTAAACCTGTCGAAATCATGGGCAATTCTAACCGATAATACAGATACAAAATACATAAACAGACGTTAGTTGAAAAATGAAAGTCAAAACCCTTAGTAGATCCAGAGGTATAAGTAGCTTATGGGGGACCATTCGCATAATTTTCAACCTAAATCACATTGAATTCTTCCCCCTTTATATTGCAAAAAAGTAATGTCTTTCCTTTGTAAATACTATTTTTCTGTTCCTCCACCTTCCCACTTCCACCTTTTTATAATTTGGGACCATACAAGTAATCTGGGACTCCCTTCCATTTGTTGTCTCTGTGGTCCCACAGCAAACCAGGCCGGGGGAGGACAATTAAACCTCTCCTTTGCTGGGAAGAACCCTTGCCTTTTCAGACACCCTGCGGGTGAGTAGTAGTTTAAATTATTTTACTGTTTGAACAATGTAATAATTGTGTATTTATATTAGATAATTTGCCTTCGATCCTGCGAGGAAGCATACCGGTGAAACGTGTTGGAATAGAAATGCATGCCACAATGGAAATGTTTGTGAATATATAAATGGACAGCAATGACACAATTTATATGAATATTGGACACCATTGATTGAACTCTTATCTATACAATGTGTAGTGGTAATGTGGCTCTGGGAGGCTGACATATGTTAGGGGATTATTTATTGGTTTTATGTATTGTTCTATGCACAAACGAATGTTATTTATATTTTGGATTCAATAAAATTAAATAAGGCATTTTAAAGACAAGGCAATGGTTGTACACCTCTTGCAATCCCCAAAATACTGTGTTCCATGTTAAGTACTTGTTCTTCTATGATATGGCTTGTATACATGTTGCCATAGCGGCAAAATGCGACATATTGCGGACATTGTTGTTAGCATGGCAACCATTTAATATAATGATGGCCAGCTAGATCTTCCTGTGCGTAATCGCCAAATCTAATGTGCATCGCCAGGGAGCAAGCTGTGAAAGTTGGGTAGTAATAGCCGCCTGCAGAGCAAAGAAGGTGGCATGGAAATAAGAAGGAGAGAACTTGGGCTGGAAGAGAGACAAGGATGCACCCCTGTGGACTAGGATGTATTTTAATCTTATAATATACAAAGCTTTATTGTTATAGCCTGATAACCTTTTCAATATAAGGGGAAGGATCTCTAGGTTAAATGAAAATCTCAGGCTTTCTTGTAAAACTTAAGTCTGGTCCCTCCTCCCTTGTCATTTAACGTGGTGTGTGTCTTGGTGGTCCAATGTGTAGTCTCAAACAGTGATGGGGTCAAGATTGCATTCTACAGGGAAAGACAGATTTGCAAACCATGACAGCACTTTATGCCTATAGGTAATGTTTTTGTTTGATTTGTTTTTGACTATTTTGAAATGTGGTTTCACAAAAGTTAACCTCTTCTTATGTATTTTATCATATTCTCAATCTGCATTGCCCAACAATGGAAATCCTCTCTGGACTGAATGACACTCTTTGAAGTAACACTGAAGATTTCCATCTGCCACAAAATGCTTGTAAACGATAATGGAACCTCAGTGATGTTCGCTCCTTGCATTAGGTGGACCGGATTTTGGCCAATTAAGTTCAGCCGTTTTCGCCAAGAAATGATACATTTTAGGTTTATGAAATTACCAGATTTTACAAGCAGGTGGCACTACCACTAAAATCTGTGAGAGCAGCTCTCTCTTCCCAGAAAAATTGTAGAATGTGCAGGAGGAGGGTAACTTATTTTACTGTATTGGGAGTTCCAAACTAAAAAGTTACTTTTTCAGCCTTAACCTTTAATTGCAAGTTTATCACACCATGAATCAGGGACTGCTACTTACCTACACTCAGTAGTGCCTCAATAAAGTCCTTTGTCACCACAGGAAGAGGAAGGCGAAATATTTCATACAGTATCTCAAGAAGACCTCGCTATGTGATAGAATAAAAAAAAAAAATCAGAAACAAAGTACAACTACAGGCGAAGGTGATTCATTTTTTTTATCATATTATCTCCATAATTTTCTTATTAAATGCACAATATGTGGTCTTGAGATGTGGTCTAGTAATTATGTTGCATGAAATGTAAAATGTTAACCCCCTAGTAATCTTTGTGAAATGTCTAACATACAAAGATCCTAAAAACTGATAAAGTAATAGGCCTACAGCAAACTTATGTGTTATGTGTGTGAAAATGCTGCAAGGTTTATTGCTTTTGGGAATGGAGTTTAATGTCACCTCTTTCAATTCAAAAGAAAACATAATAACTTAAAGAAAAGGTGTTTTTTCCCTATAAAGGATTAAGACAGAATATGAAATTTAATTGCAATTAAAAGTCCCATGTGCAATCTATTCAACATTTACTTGGGTAGCAACAGTGCCGATTTACATTTTTTGTTCACCATCAAATCCTTTTCTTGGGAGTCCATTCTGTACTCGGCCCTGTCATCCACAGCTTCGATGTGCTGAAGTGACCATGGACAGCACACGTGTACAACTTTTTATAATGACACTGAAGTTACGCTATACAGTTTTGATGGCCGAACAGGGAGCTTAAGTGATCAAATTTACAAACTCCAGGCAGACTTCCCTAACTAAAAGGTGTGTGTACAAATGTTTACAATACCACTGAGGGGGCCCTAAAACACAGATCGCTGCAATACATAAATGGAAACTTCAGTTGCTGAAGGCACATCTGGACCCATCCCCTCCTGCACCTCAGGTTTTTGTCAATAAGGCCATATTTTATAGTGATAGCTCAGTAGTAAGGAACGGGAGGGGATGGGCCCAAGTGACAGCTTTGTGTGCTCAAGTCACTAATGCCTTATGAGGCACGTTGCACTGTAGGTGAACATACACAGAGGAAATTGTGGGGGATCGCTTTAAAGTAGCCTATGATGCAAATACAGGTGCAAAGGAAGAGGGTAAAGGACGCTGGCTAATGTTAGCATCACCGATTTAGAATGTGGGCTGCAGACATACTGGTAGGCCTTGTCCACTCAAAGAACTTTGGAAAGCATGTTGCAATGTGTTGCACTTGAAATTTAATTCAAAAGCTATGAATGGGACCAGAAAGGGCACGCAACAAAATCTCAGCATTCTGCCATAGGAAATGGTTCTAAAGACACACAATAGATTTTAGTAGGGATGTCACTTTTTTAAGACCAAGTACAAGTACTGTCCGTCATGTACTTGCCGACACCAATTACCGATACTTTTTCTTAAAAGGGACATGTGACATTTTTCTCTAAAACAACACAGACTTATGATTTTAGGGCAGTTTCTCACCAGGGCTAAATACATGTCCCCACAGCAGAACACATGTCCCTAAGGCAGAATAGTATTCTGCTTTGGGAACATGTGTTCTGCGAATACATGTCCCCCAAAGCAGAATTCCTCTCACCAGGCTGTGTGTCAATCTCACCCGTGCGACTTGGACATCTGCAGTGGCTTTGCGGGCACTTCACCTCACTGGCGATGCCGGCCCCCCTCCCATGTCCAGACCGGCGATGCTGCCACGTCCAGTCCGGCCAACTATCTGCGCTGCTGGGCCCAGTGACTTTCATCCATCTCCCGGCCCAGTCCTCCCCATCAGTGTGCGGCGGGAACCCCCAGCTTCCAGCCCTGGGGCGGTAGTTCCGCCCCCGGGTTGTCCATGGACAGCTATCTGCGCCTGGAAGGAGGGGGAGGAGATAAAGAACCCGACAGGCACTGCCATGAACAGCTATCTGCAGGTCCCCAGCAGGCTGCCAAGGTCCCCACAAGCGTCGATATGGACGGCCGCTGCTATTCGAAAATTTAAAGGGCCGGTATCGGGCTTAAGAATCGGGGCATTTTCACGAGTACAAGTATTCGTGAAAATGCCTGGTATCGGAACATCCCTAGATTTTAGCATTTCTGTTGCAAAAAACACAGCCACATGCTCAGTGTGAACGGCACCTTACTGAACTGACAGCTGTTTTAGCACCAATCAAATTTGGTTGCATCCACTTTTGGCTTAAACTGCAGTCGCAGCAACAATCTGCTGCTCAAAAAAAAATGTGATCTATTAGAGCTCATCAGTCCTTTGATGCAAGTTTTTTCTTTTATTTTTAGTATCACATTTCCTCTCCAAGGGTGACCAGGACCACCGTTGTCACCCTAGGTTGCTTGCAGCAGATATGGACTATATCTCACCGTTTCCTCATCTCAATTACATGGGGGAGGTGTTCTGTTGTCAATATAATATGAGCTAAACAGGGCTTCGATTTTAGTGTAGCACAGGCAGAGAGCACAGGAAGCTATGCACTCTGATTTTTGGCAGGATCAACAGGTATGTGCAGTATTTTTAAAGAGATAAAACATGGGGGACTGTGCATTTATTGCAGAGATGTACTAAATATGTGTTTTTGTTAATTTTTATTTTGCCGACCCATACACAGAAATCATGCCACAGCCCGCGCTCCACTCTTTTGTCTGCCAAATATACACAAAGAGAGGTAACTATTGTAATGGATTTTATGTATTTTCTGTTTTGAAAACCCAACCCAAACACTAAGCCCAACCCTATAAAATGTGCATGACAACAGGGCCAGGCAGACTGAGTAAGAACTGGGTGTGACAGGCGGGTTTTACTTTCAAGGGAAAGATTACCTTTAAGACACAGAATGTTGAACAACAGAGAGTGAAAGTAATGGCGGTCGTCAACAAATACCAATAACCTACCCGTATTTCCATGTTTGGTATACAAAGAACTCCGATGAGAGAATGGATGCCAGAATTCCCAGGCTTGCATAAGCTAATGATACCTAAGAAGGAACACAACATACACTTCAGTGACGGGGGATATCAGCAATACAGATGAAGAGGTGTCTATTAACACCCTGACAGAAGATTTAGAACACAACAGCGAGCTGAAAACAAATAAAAGTAAAGGCAAAGAGAGTTTGGCATCTCTGAACATTCTTCTCAAGCAGGTTAAAGGCCGACAACCGCTCACACAAAAGATTGTGGTACTGATAAGCGTTTAAAGCCCATTTCCACCTTTGCAGAGGAATTTAAAGTGACATTAAACCCTCAGATTTTTTAACATAAAACAATACTGTAATGTGTGCCTTACTGTAAGGTGCCTAACTGTAGAGGAGGGGGAGTGAGGCTGGAAGGACCGGTCTAAGAGCAAGTCGCCTCAGGAGGATTGCGCCAAGGAGCAGTTAACCCTTGCAGTGCTGGGGTAGCCCCACTGCAAGAGTTAATAAAAGTTTTGCCTGGAGTGCTATATAAATCCTGTATTCTAATGATAATTTAAAGTGCATGTCCCGGCATTATCCAAATATCCCTTTCTATAACTTGTCCCAGACTTTTTTTTTTCCTTTGATCTTGTTCCTGTAGTAAGAAACGGCTTTTATTACTCCCCATCACATTGCCACTAGGCTTGGAAAAGTCTTCCAGATATAGCCGATGGGATCTCACTTACATAGGCATGCTTACAGGACTACATCTCCCAAGAGCCCTTTCTCTAAACACAGTGGGGGGCATTTATCAAATATATATAGGTAGCTTTACTTGTACCAGCATTGGACATATTCTTGAAGAATTCAGGAATCATTCAGTCCCATGTAGGCGCCAGCAGGCTCTTCAAAGGTGTAGGTAACTGTTTGTTTGTGTTGTCGCCGCCATAGTAGGGATTAAAGGTGATGTTTTGGTTGGCCCAAAATAATGTAATGTGTGTCATCAACCAACCCGCCACGTAATTAGGAATGAATGCTCGCTTTATCTTAGGGGATCTAATGGCGATTAATACTTACCCTAAGCTTTGGTTCTGGGGCAGCCAGCATTCTGGTCTTCTGTGCTCCTGTCATGGAATGGGGGCAGACCCTTTGTGTCATCACATCTATAAGCTGGGCAGATTTGGGGAACTGGTCATCACTACCTTAACCTTAATGAAGGAAGCCTAAGGGCCTGTTCACACGACGTCCGTTTTGTGTTCTGACCGGATCCGTACGCTGCTGCACTCAAAATGCATCCCAATGTATCCCTATGTGTTTTATGGGCTACAGTTCTCACGTGCGCAGTCCGTTCAGCTTACGACAGAAAAATACTGCATGTCACATTTTGTCCGGTCCGGAAACGCACGAAACGCAACAAAAACGCAACGCAGCTAAGGAGAAAGTGACCTCGGAGGCTGAATCTGCACACAGACAGATCCTTGGCTAAGTCAGCATCCGGACCCAAAACGCATCAAAAACGCACTGCATCAGCAGCTCCACGTCTGCTGATCAGCACCTGATCTCATGTGAACAGGCCCTTAAGGACCACGTATTAAGTTATATTCTCTGTTAACTCTGTTAAATCCCCCCCAGACAAAACACACTGAGGGGGATTGATCAAAACTGGAGCAGACACAATCTGGAGCAGCTGTGCATGGCAACCAATCAGCTTCTATCTTTCATTTTCAAATCTTAAGTGAACAAACTGAAGAGAGAAGCTGATTGGTTGAGGATTGGCGGAATTATGTAGTGAATCAGGTAGGCCTGACAGCTATGGTTGAGAGTTCAATGCAGCAAAGACACTGGGGGGAATTTATCAAAACTGGAGGCGACAAAATCGGGAGCAGCTGTGCATGGCAACCAATCAGCTTGTTTCTTTCAATTTTAAATCTTAATGTATCAAACTGATGAGGGAAGCTGATTGGTTGCCATGCACAGCTGCTCCAGGCTTTGATAAATCCCACCTGTGTTGTCAGCCCAAACTGTGAGTTAGGAGCACACAGTTTTGCTGGCATATTAGTGTTTTTTTCCTGTACTTGCTGCTCTTTTAAAAGGGATAAAACATGGAGACATGTGCATCTATTGCAGACATGTACTGCACATTTTTGCCCTGACATACACTTTGCAATCACGTTAGTGATGGCAATTTCATATTTCAGCCCTCTAAGGTTGACTCTTAAAAGAAGAATGTCAATGACTGCCACAGGCAACACAAATTATGTGACACCACTGTACAATTAGACAAATAAGACTGAGTGAGGGGACAACAATGAGGAGAGATGAAAGAGAAAAGACACGTCAAGAAGAGCAGACAAGATGCAACACGTCAAACGTTGTAATACCCCACATCTCGGAGAAGTGATCTGGGAGAATGCGGCTTTCACTGTCGAGTGACTCGCACTAACCTGCCCATGATCGGAATGCTGCTACAATCCCCAGTTTGCTTGCCTGGAATCTGGCCTCTCGGTCCTCTCTGAAAAAGAACACAGCACAAATCATGTTATCCTTCACTCACAATCCACAGGCATGTTACCAGGATTCAAGGAAACTTATAGCAGGTTCATAATCTTTTCTTCATTTATCATGTTTAGGAGTAAAAAAAAAAAAAAAAAACATTTTAAAAATATATGTAATTAATTTGGGGAAATATAAAACTTTACATATGAATACCGTATTATGTTTAGCCTCATCTTCTAGTGAGCTGGTGGAGGCCTTGGCACTTTTTAAACGTTCCTCTCTTTATATCATGTGTTACAAAAAGCTAGTCAATTACATAGACCAATAGCTGCAGATAAACATCACAAACGTATGTCATGGGAGTGAATTGTCTCTTAACTAGGGAGAGATGCTGCCTGTGCTTTCTCAAGCCAACCCATGGTGCTCAGGAAATCCCTTTGTCATGCAATAAATGGTTATCTGTAAAACAAACATACACCACCTGGCCAAAAAAAAGCCACAAAATCTAATATTTAGTTGGTCCGCCTTTAGTCTTCATTATGGCCTCAATTTGCTGTGGCATTTCTTGATAAGCTTATGCAATGTCACAACATTTATTTCCTTCCAGAGTTGTTCAATTTTCATCAAGATCTTGTAGTGATGGGAAAGTTGGACCACTCAAAGTCTTCTCCAGAACATCCCAAATATTCTCAATGGGGTTAAGGTCTGGACTCTGTGGTGGCCAATCCATGTGTGACAATGATGTCTCATGTTCCCTGAACCACTCTTTCTCAATCTGAGACTGATGAATCCTGGCATTGTCATCTTGGAATATGCCCAATGTGCCATCAGGGAAGAAAGAATCCATTCATGGAAAAACCTGATCATTCAGTATATTCAGGGAGGCAGCTGACCTCATTTTTTGGGGACATTATGTTGCTGAACCTATTTATACAATGGAAGGTGTGTGTCTCTCTCTCTCCCTTTCTCTCTCCGTCCCTCCCTCTTTCCCTCCATTTCTCTCTCTCTCCCTCCCTTTCTCTCTCTCTCTCTCCCTTTCTCTCTCTCTCCCTTTCTCTCTCCCTCCCTTTCTCTCTCTCTCCCTCCCTTTCTCTCTCTCTCCATTTCTCTCTCTCTCCCTTTCTCTCTCAATCTTTAAGCGGCAGTTCACATGCACATAATATATGATCAAATCCACAGGTTCCTTCGAGAGGATTGCCAGATTTCCCTGTGTGGACAAGGCCTAACTATAGCAGACTACCATGGCTGTTTGTAGTCCTATTCAGAAGCTGGCAAGAAAAGGTGATAATGGTAGCAGCTGACAACTGAGCTGACTAAGTGCCGTCACCCCAGGACAAGAAGTATCCTTGCTGGTAAGAATTTATTTGAAAGGACATATTTAAAAAAACAAAAAAACATTTAATTGCAGAAACATGTTTGATTTGAGTGTTTGGGTTTAGATATGCTCCAAATGCAATAACCAACATCAACCAGTCAAAATGCATCTGGTCTTGGTTCAGCAGAGTGAATTTTGACTGTAATGGGTTTTGTGTGTGGGGGAGGAGATTCCATCTCGTGATGCTGTCCTGGAAGACGTTATGGGAAATTTGGAATGAACTCCCATTATTTATATAAGGTGAAATATCAGGGGTAGGCAAAGTTGGCACTCCAGCTATGGAGTCCCATGAGGCTCTGCAAGACTGACAGTCACAGGCATGACTCCCAGATCCATGATGGTATTTGTAGTTTCACCAAAGCTGGAGTGCCCAACTTGCCTACCCCTGTCAAATATGCTCAGGTATGTTTTTTCCATGCAAGGCTTAATTTTATATGTATTTTCATTCATTCTTCCATATGTTGTTCATTTGGCTGAACAGCAGAAAATCTTTGAAGTGTAACAAGGTAACATGGTACTCTAAGAAGGAGGTTAGGTCCCGTAGGGTTGTGCTGAATGTTCCGGGCTTTTAATAGCACAGATAACTGTTATTAGCAGAAGATGAAAAAGAACTTCACAAAAACAGACACGACTCCATTCACACATGCACATTATAAATGCAATTTAAATGCAAGATCAGTGGGATCTGTGACATTAAAATGAATGGCACTGTTCTTATCTCTGTGCTTCCTTCCTGCAGGTTTAAAAGGAGAACTATGGGGTTAAGGCACAAACTAGCGTCCTCCCGTCACCGTAGGCTCAGTATACCGCGAGCAGTAGCTCGCAGTATACTGAAACACCGCAGCTTAAGTGGATCCCGACAATTCTGTCTGGATCCGCCCAGCTGCGTGAGTGACAGCTGGCTCTGCCTATCTAGAGGCAGAGCCAGCTCTACCCGCCCCCTCCCCCGTCCGTTCCGCTAGTCAGCTTGTGTCACGGCTCTCGAGAGGTGAGCGAACCTGGTATGTGTTCGCTCACCTCCCGATCTACTGAGCCGACCTGTGACAGTCTCATTGTTACAGGTCGGCTTAGAACTATGAGGTGAGTGGAAATCACTCATCTCATAGTTCTCCTTTAATTACCTGTAATTAGCACATTAAAAAGGAAGAAACAGAGTAAAGAAAAGCAAAATCAAATGTAGACAAAAAAAGATTAAAAAAAACAGAGGAAATTTTCTTTGCCAGTAGAGGTTTCTGACAGAGGTCTGGAAGACACAATGTTGTGTTAACACTGTATCTAACACCTCATCAGCGGTGTGCCACATTTAATGACAAGGCAACACCTCATGGTGAGGAATCACAGCACTAAAGGCGATATAACATCATCTGATGCAACAGGAAATTATTGAATAATTACCAGACAAAACTGTTCCCATTACAGAAAAGCAGAACACCAACAAAACATCAACACAGGGCTGGGAAAATACAGGCAGCAAGATCACTAAATGCATGTAAGACATTACAGATTGCAGCTTTTCAGCCTTTTCTCATCTTACTTTTACGAGTGAACTTCTCACAGCGTGCAATAGAAGCTGCAGCAAGATAGAGCCAGAGAGTCAGAAAGAGCCTGCTTGATCCCCCAGCATGTGTACCTGGCCCTTTCATTCGTTGGATTGGAGTCTTTACAATCATGGCATGTGGACACGTTACCTAGGGCGGTCTGCGTGCAAATGCAGCCTGCAATGGAATGACCAATCCTCCAGGCTGACACCTACCAACCAAAGCAGTTTGATATTTGCATAACTCCTCTCAAAAGCCAGACCACTGCTTGCACCAGGGCTGATGACTCTTGAGGAGTATAGAGGCAGGGTGCTGTGATGTTTTCAGTAAGCAATACCAGGAGGGGCAAAATAATAGCAGATTAAACGTCAGCCTGCCAGAAACCAGGGCTATTTAAACTAAGCACAGGGTGGGAAAAGAGAATACATCAGCAGAGGTTACCTTCAGTGGATAAAAAGCACATCAAAACGATTCAAGAAAGATAAAAGAAATATAGGCAACAGAAGGTTTGAAGTGTATGTAAACACTAACAATTGGTGCTGACACTGTCCTTCCTTCTGCAGGGGGGCTACTATTGTTCCCTCCAAGCTCCCTCCTGTGATGGACTATAATCTCAGGTTTAGTTTACTAATTTGTACTGAGGTTGTAGTCCATCACGGGAGTGAGCTTGGAGCGGTGACTACTTTACAACACACACAGGGACCATGGGGAACAATAGTAGCCCCCCTCCAGAAGGAAGGACAGTGTCAGCACCAATTCAGAGATGATTTGAGGATCTACAGCCGAGTGATACACAAATAAGATACATTATTGTTAATAGGTAAGGTATGTGACTGCATTTTTGAGATTTAACTCCTGAGTTTAGTGTCACTTGAAGTGATCTGGTTCCTGACAAGTTTTACAATGGCTAAGAAATTAGAGAATTGTAACTTTAAAATAACAATTCTGCCTGAACCTGTTCGGGGTTGGTGGCGTATTTGCTTTTATAATTGGTGCAATCACATTCAAGGAGGGGAGGTAGAAAATCTTGACAAACAAAGTTTAAAAGAGCTCTAAAACTCATCAGAAATGCAACAGCAAAACTCGCATCTAAAAAATGAGTTCTATGTGGAACAGACCATAATAAAGTGTGCCCACAGAATATCTGTATTTTAATTAGGACTTCTAAGTATAAGAAGATCACCATGCCGGGTCATCATAGTGATTTGTTGGTATTTCCCGTGTCTGCAAGAATTTCCATGATCCCTTTCCCTTTGCTCGGTTTGTGTCTATAATAAAGGACACTGAACGCTCAGCTCCATAGGGACAGTGGTAGGTGCCAATGGTTGAGCAGACACTGTACAATGCAAAACAATAATGCTTTATAAACACGATAAAATAAAACTGTATCCACTTACTTGAGCTGTCCTTCTGCTGTGTCTGGATTGTGCCTGTAGTGAAAGTCTGTGTATGGCGCTAAAATTTGCTAAAAATTAAAGTAAACAAAAATTAGAACGTTATGCAAGCAAAATGATACCGTTTATACACGTTTAGATGATAGATGTAGTTCCATTTTCATCTTAGCATTTTCCAATCGTCATTCAGTCATGTACCAGCATCACAACATGCGCATGAGCCACATAAAAACTGCTAAAGGCTTGTTTACACCAAATCCGGACCAGATCTTTAGGAGTTTCTGCATATGCAGTGCGTTTTGATGTGTTCCGGTCTGTGTTTCTATAGCCTAAAATGGGCTTTCAGGTGTAGTCCAGTGCGTTCTACAGCATTTGCATGTTTTGTGTTTGCATGCGTTTTGGTGCGTTCCAGAGCAGAAAAAATAGGGCATGCTGCAGTTTTTCCACATGCTCTGGAACTAAATGCTGTTGTGTGAACTAGAGGCCCAAAATACCATTGGATGCATTTTTGATGTGTTCTGTAACTGCTCTGCATCTGCTCCGCACTTGGTGTGAACAAGCTCCAAGGCTGGGTTCACACCTGAGCGTATTTTTTCTGCTCGTTTTTCAGCTTGTTTTTTTCGCGTTTTTTCAGCACGTTTTTTCCGTTTAGTGAAACATGCGTTTCACTAACGGTATGATTTCTTTTTTTCCTTATCTTCTATATTTAAAAAAAAAAAAATTCACTTTCAAACTTCCTGCCGGCTCTGCCACCCTGCGACGCGGCTGCTCGCAAAGGACGGAACCCGGAAGTCTGCAGCCGCCGGAGGACACAGCGGGGATCGCAGACAAGGCAAGACCTGTACGCTGTATTCCCGAGTGTGGTCCAGGGTTACCGCTTTGTTAACCCCGATCCACACTCGGGAATACCAATGGAAACGCCCCAAAGAAGCTCCTGTACTTCTTTGGGCATAGGGCGTTTTTCAGCGCGCTCCTACGCGCTAAAATACGCCCAGGTGGGAACCATGCCCATAGGCAATTATTGGTTTTCACATGCTGAGCGTTTTACAGCGCGTCTCTACGCGCTGTAAAACGCCCAGGTGTGAACCAGGCCTAAAAGGTGCTACAAATGTACACTGCAAGTAGATATTGTACCACTAGAGTACACATAATAGTGAATTTACAAAGCTAGAAGGTGACTCGCAAATTTTTTTTTAAAGCCTTGCTTTAGATAACATTAGAGCATTTCGAAGGGATTGAGGTCAGGTGCTTGTAAACACCTGTAAATTAACCAGTATTGTTAGCTTACATGTTTAGGATCTGACAATTCCACTTTAAAAATACAGATGCTTAAAGTTAGACACATGTTGCATGATTCAGCTAGTCCTCGCTGACATTTCAATAAACTACCACATGCAGCAAGTCAGTAATCAAAGTATATCTAAGGATTCAATACATTAAACAAAAAATTAAAGTTTTTACTTAAGAGGTGAGACAAAATTCCACCATAATGGTCTTGGAAAAGTACTGACCATTGCCCTCTAGAAATATGCGACCTAGCTATTAGTAGATGTTAATATTCCTTGAGAAGCTGAATAGCACAGCAACAAGTCAGCACAAGTCATAAACAGAGTGGCACCTACCTCTAATTCAACATCAGCTCGCACATATTGTCTGGTCTTTGGATGATTAAGAAGGTGCAAGACTGTGGTGATGAGAGCCTCGTTTATTCGGCTTAACTGGCAGTCGATCACATTTTTCAGGATCGTACTGAGACCACCTCTAAGCGCCACAACTTCTGGATTCTGAAGTGCTGGATCAAGAACAAAGAAAAACACCAATTATTATAGGAAGTACCTGCTGGTAAATAAAGTGCAGTCAGTGCCTCACTAAGCATCCACATAAATAATTGCCTTTTTTTAATTAGCTTATTTCAGGAGCTGCAGTATTAGCTGTGTGATAACCTAGGCACCTTATTATGGAGTGCATTTTCTATATATTCCTATTCAGGAATGACATCATAATGATAGTGGGTTTTACAGAACAAGGTCTTGTTCCCACAAGCAGACCAATGCCTATCATGTGTTTGATCTTTTTTCAGCAGCTAACCTGCATGCGCTACCTTGCGCATAGACTGCCACAATCTAAGCCATAAATCTCTAAAAATTACCTTCAGATGCTCTTCACAATAATACAAATTCAAAAATATACACTTAAAGAAAAAAAAAAAAAAAAAAAAACATCTGGTAGATCCCTACCAGGACCTCTGCTTTCCACTCTGGTCATGGACAGTCAAAATGCCAATTCAGGAAGGTCGGCGGTTATATACACAGCCAGGGACTGGAATTGAATGACACCACAGGGGCAGCATTAAATATAAAATAGATAATCCATGGCCCAATCGCACTCCTGACCGCGTAAATCCCTTCAAGAATTGGGTGATGCGGTAATCAACGGGTGGCTGCCGTAACAATCGTGAGATAAAGCAGAGACACCAGCACTCCAAATTTGCAAAATACGTCTATTTATTGACGTGCATCGTGGTAAAAAACAACAAACGTTTCGGGGTCACAAAGGATCCCCTTCATCAGGTAAAACATACAGTGATGTATGTTTTACCTGATGAAGGGGATCCTTTGTGACCCCAATACATCACTATGTTTTACCTGATGAAGGGGATCCTTTGTGACCCCGAAATGTTAGTTGTTTTTTACCACGATGCACGTCAATAAATTGCATCGTGGTAAAAAACAACGAACGTTTCGGGGTCACAAAGGATCCCCTTCATCAGGTAAAACATACAGTGATGTATGTTTTACCTGATGAAGGGGATCCTTTGTGACCCCAATACATCACTATGTTTTACCTGATGAAGGGGATCCTTTGTGACCCCGAAATGTTAGTTGTTTTTTACCACGATGCACGTCAATAAATAGACGTATTTTGCAAATTTGGAGTGCCGGTGTCTCTGCTTTATATCATTAAATATAAAATGACACCGCACTCAGACACCACAATGTCCAAAATCGTTTTGGACCTGACAAGTCTACTTGTTCAAAGCCAGACACATATTAGGTTGTTCAGTTAAAGCTCATTGGCAGTTCAATAAGGTTATTCCATATACTACTGCAAACAGCAAAGCAGTAACCTACTGAAGGATCAGGAGGTCAGAAACCTGCAAGCAGTTGTTGCTACAAAAAGATGCTTCAACTGTGGAGTGAAGTCCGGTCTGCACTTCGATAATGGACAGAAAAGCATTCCCTCCAAATCTAAATTTAAAGCGCATTTCCACCTTTGTAAGTGATTGGTAGTTATTGTGGTGATGCAGAGGTGCAGTGATGATGTACATGTGTGTACATTTTTATGATTCACATTTCTGGCTTCCTTAATGTATTTTTATTGACTTTTTAGTAGGCCTGAGTCCTACAAATTTAACATTTTCTCCACAAGAAACTCAATTTGACACTGGAGTCGGATTGTAAACAAGTGTTACTAATTCATTACTAATTACTAATGAACTGTGTTAATTTACACAGACTGCTTGCAGAGCACAGAGGTGGCCATTTAAAAAAAAAAAAAAAAGCCATGAGGCGTTGAAGAGGACAAAAATATATATGTTTATATATAATGTTTATATACAGCAACTGCATAAGTCAGCTCCATGTACACTTAAAAAAAATACCTCTGCAAAGGTGGAAATGGACTTTAAGACTGGTTTTCCCTATAAAACACGGCAAACACAAGCAGCGGTTGTGTTGGCTTTCTCCTTCCTTTCCAACAGGAGATCATCAACCTCACCTAGTTCACAGATGATTGCGATACAGGCACGAACCATTCTGTCCCTCTCCTGAAGGCCATCATTTCCGACTGCTATCAAGGAATTGGTTATAGAACTAGGGAATAAGGAAGCATTCACAGTAATCATCTGCAAAACACAAGCAAAGGATTACATAAGCACAGTTGTTGGCAGCCTCAGGAACACAGATTAGCTGATGTCAACCCAGATTAGCATTCAGTGCTTACTCCAATACACTTAGATTTTATCTCTATGGAAGCATTACTTTACAGAAGAGGTATGGAAAGGAAACTGCAAATGGTGTGCTAGGAAAGCAGCACATAGGAACTTGGAGATTTACCTAAAAAAGGGAGTACTTATCACGATCCTGGATTTATATAGCGTCAACAGCTTGCACAGTGCTTTACAATATGAGGAAGATATTACAAAATAATTCAAAACAAGATGGTTAGGAGGACCCTGTCTGCGAGAGCTTACAATCTAAAAAGGAGTGGCATATGATACATTTTAACATTAGTAGAGGTAAAGGAACACATTACTATTTACATACAGTGCATTTTGATTGGGATGTTGATGTCTCTCCTATGTAGTTATTTTCCTGCCTGTTGTCATTAATCGATCAAATACATCAGCACAGAGTACTGCTTTGTGCACTGATAGCTAATTGTACCCGAGTGTTTAATGAAGGGAACAGAAACCAGACTGCACCTTTGCCTGCCCTGAATGGCTATCCAGAGCACATGCCTGCTCCTGGGGGCTCAGGAGAGCACTGCAGCATTGTCCAATACCAAGGACATAACCTTGATGCTAAAGGAGTAGCAGCGCTTGTGTGTACCTCCCCCAAGGGCTGGACACACACACACACACACACAAATTGCAATTGGGTCAAGACAACCTATCCACACGCCTTCTGAATACATATAACAACAGTTAATGGTAGGATGCCTTGAACGTTTCATTGTTCTCGAGCTCAAACACCGGCTGAAGTTGCTAGAAAATTGCCCAGAGTATGGTCCAGCACTAAGGATTGTATACACAGGCACTGTAAGCAAGACAATGGCGCATCAGTGCTGAAGTTCATTTTCTGACAGTCACAGCTATGACTAAGGCGGTGTAAGGCAGAAACGCGTCAGTGGATGTTTTTTCTTTGTACAGATGCATGTGGAATAACATTTGGAAGAGCATTGTGTGCTGCTTTTGCAGTTTCTAAGATATCTACTCTGGAAGAGAGTTATCAGAGCACAGAAAGTGGATGACCAGGATGCATGATGGGGTGAGGTTTTATTTTTCTAGTTTCCGTAAATATTTACCCCCTTTGACTTTTCACATTTTGAAAAGTTATGACCAACATTTTAAAATGGGTTTAAATGAGATGTTATGCCACTCACCTACACACAATTGTATGTAATGTATATAATGTTGAAAAACTGCAGAGTTTTCCAATTCTCAAATAAAAATACTCAAAAAGTTTTGATTGAATGTTTATTCACATTCATTGCTGTGACCCCCTGAATAAGCTCTGGTGCATAATTAGTTAAATGGAAAAATGAAATTAAAGTGTCACATGATCTCAAAACAGATGTATGTTAAAATATAAATCTGCATAATGAAGACCAAGGAGCTATAAAAACAAGCTTGACATGGGTATTAAAGGAGAACTATTGGGAGAGTAAAATGTACTCGTCCCAATATTTTGAGCCAGCATGGGACATTGCAGCTCCGCAGATGAGTGATCACTCAGCTCACGGCTTCACCCTGAAGAGAGCGGTGACTTCAGTCACCGCTCCCCGCAGGGACTTCCCCTCCCCTCTCTGTTCCTCCAGTACTCATTGGAAGGACACACAGGGAGGAGGTGGGAACACATGGCTCTGGCTCCAAAGAGGCAGTGCCAGCTGTCAATCAGGTAGCAGGGTGGATCCCAACAATATTGTCAGACTTGTTCCCAGCTGCAGGGCAGTAGCCCGCTAGATGCTAACTTGCTGACTTTGGGCCAATGTACTTCTGAGACCCAAAAAAGTTTGGCTTTACTTCCCTTTTAAAAATAACCTAAACTTTAAAACCCCCGGAGTACTATTACAGACCATTCGGGGGTGGGGGGAAATTAATATTAATGGAATTTTCAGAATGGTATATAATGATACTCAGATGGTTTCAAAGTTTGGGTTATTATTACAAGGAAAGTAAAGCCAAACATTTTTTTTTCTTTTTAACATGACAAAACTATAATTCTGCCTGAGAATGGCCCTCCTTCAAAGTTAAGAGATTGTGTAGGAAGAGAATTAGTCCAAGAGGCAACCAAGAGCCCAGTAGAAGCACTGAAGAACCTGAAGCTGAGACAGTAGAAACTGTCCATTGGACAACTATAATCTGGGGCTCCAGAAAGCTGGACTATATGGACAAGTGGTGGAAAAGGGCCAAAACAAATATCAAATCCCATTTTCAGTTTGCCAAAAGGTATGTGGAAGACACAGCAACAGAGTTATCTGGTCTGATGATCAACTCCGATATTTTTGCCCTTATTATAAAACACTGTGTTGGAGAATGGCACATAGTGGAATGGAGTACTGGGATCAGTATGCTACCAGTACTCCTGCTTTCTTCTCAAAGTTACTAAACTAGCACCTAAAAGTGCCTGAACAGAACATTACATATAATCACGAAATCCCCTGGAAGCTGCACAACGTGGGGTATTCTAATATACAAACTCCAGCTTGCTCTGATATAACTGAACACTGCCCTATCAACGTTTAGAGCAGGGATAGCCAAACTCCAGCCCTCCAGCTGTGGAACTACAAATCCCATGAGGCATTGCAAGATTCTGACAGCCACAGACATTACTGCCGGAGAGACATGCATCATGGGATTTGATGTTTCACCACAGCTGGAGGGCCAGAGTTTGGCTACCTCTGGTTTAGAGCTTCACTGACCTCAGCCGGCAAAAGACAACGCAGCAACTTTGAGAAAACACAAGCTTACTTTAGTGTGAAATGAAGGATTGAGCAAAATGTTTTTTAAAACATTAAAAAAAATTAAAAAAGCAAAAACATAAATAAAACAAAATTGATGAATATACATGTAATCCTACGACTAAAAATAGTACTACTAATAATAATTTTGTGACAGCAAAGAAGAAAACTAAACATTACACACACACGGGCTGTCTAAAGGTAAAAAAGGAAAGTGCTAATCATAGAGTGCTGACTACATCAGCAAGAGTGGTAGTACACATGTATCCTATGAGAAAACAAGGGGCTCTAGCTGCTGCTGGAGAATGCATTCGTTTTGCAGAATACTCGGGTTCAGCTTTACATCCCACCCCAAGAATTTGCTTGATCTAATGGGTCACGAGCAGAAGTCAAGCGAGGACATGCACACGCATACAGAATGGCAGCGTTACAGACTGTGTTTATATAGTCAACAGATGACTGTAGATGTGCAACCAAAGCAAGTTCTGTTTTGGTGCATATGTATGAAACAAAGAATGTTTGTCGAGTTCCAGACATGCTGCACTGATGAAGCACGCTGACCAGATTTCCCACATCCAAAGCGACAGATTATACACCGGCCTCATCAACAATATCAAATGCTTTCATTTTAAAACTATTTGAAATGGCTACAGCATGCTTGTCAAACACACCAAGTGAAAGATAGGATCTGCCCCAGGAAACTAGAGATTTATAGTACGTGGAGCCATAACTACCAAACATCAATAAACCGAAATGACTGCGGAATCTCAGAAGAAGAAAACCTCCTAATTCCCAAAAAAAAAAAAAAAAAAAAAAGAAGAGCAGCTACTGCCATTCATCAACAGGTTTGTTTTTATAACATTGGGCTTAAAAAAGTTGGTTTTGCATTTACAATAATATATATATAGGGATGCATGCGTCCAGCAGGGAAGAGAGAAAAGGGTCAGGCGGCTGAGCGGGGAGGAGAGCGCTGTGAGCCATGATGTCACAGAAGGCTGAGCTCACTCACTGCCACGCTCAGCCTCCTGTGACAGATCAGGATGGAGAGCAGCAGTATGGGGGCGAAGACAGCTGTCACAGGAGGTGGTGCATCAGTTGTCAAATGAGACCGAGCTCTCCTCTCCGCACCTCCTGCATTGCCTCCTGTGACAGCGAGCCAGGATGGAGAGCGGGTATAAGCAGTCAGCGATCAGCTGATCGCTAACTGCTTGGAAAAAATTGAGGACAGAGTATGTTTACTATGTCCCAAATTATGAATGAATGGGAAGTGATCTACATCCCCTCCTGTTCATTCATGATTGATTCACAAGTTATGAATGAACACTCAGTATAGAGGCTTCCTTATCATTGATAACAGGGGCTGCAGAATAACAGATACGAGAATAAAGAGAGGACTGTCTCCTCAATCTCTTTTTCTATTTTAAAAGGGAAATATCAGGGGTCTGTTTAGGCCCACAATATTTCCCAGAAACCCCTAAAAGTAAAGTAAAAAAATAAAAACATTTAAAAAAAAAAAAAGTTTAGGAAACAACAATACTTAAAAAGAAAATAAAAAAAGGTTAAAAAATAATTTTCGGACATTCTTTTACTTTTTGGTTTCAAAATTTAATTACGGTGCACCGTATGAATGTATGTGTATCTATCTATCTATCTATATTTTTTATTTATTTCAATTTTTTTTTTTACTTTACTGTTAGGGATTTGGGGAAATATTAGGGGTCTAAACATTTCCCTTTTGACATAGAAAAAAAGATTGACACAATCTCTTTTTCTGCAGCACCTGTTATGAATGAACACGAATCCTCTATACTAAGTGTTCCTGTCCATTCATAAAGATAGTATCAGTTACTATGACCACAATCATGAATGAACAGGAAGTGATGTTGCACACTTCCTATCCATTCATAATTGGGGACACAGTAACACTAACTAAATACTATGTCCTCAGTTATTTACAAACATCGGTGTGATCACTCCGATGTTTGAGCAGTACATTGAAGGATTAGCAAATATTTCATATATTTGCTGATCCTCCCCGCTCTCCACCCTGAACTGTTCTGCTCTCCTCCTCCCAGCTGACAATGACAGCTTCTCTCCCCTCCGCTGAGGGCCGGCAGCTAGATTGGCTGTGTCCCCTCTGATCCCCGCTGCATTTGCCAACACAGGCATGGAAGAGCAGAGGGGACACAGACCGAAGCTTGCAGCCAGCATCCAGCAGGGAGGAGAGAAGCTGGGAATGCACCGCATTTTGAGCCTTTTTTTTTTCTATCAACATATTGGCCATAGTACCATTTTTGTGGGTCGAAACTTTCAGTGCATAGTTACCGATACTTTTTTTTTTTTGGCGTCATGTGACAGTTTTTCTAAAACAATACAAACTAATGATTTAGGACAACAGTAGAGCGCCATTGCTCGGTTGCAGATGCGACCGCTGTGACCCTGGCAGTTCTGCCACTGACTCCAAAGCTTTAGAGAGACTACAAATCCCAGCAATACATTGTACAACAATGCAGAATAATATGAAGCTAGATGAGTATTGCCTCACCGGGGCCATGCATGGCGTCTCGTGGGTGCGGGCGGCAGGAAGGGGGACGAGAAGTGCGGGCGGCAGGAAGGGGGACGAGAAGTGAGGGCGGCAGGAAGGGGGACGAGAAGTGAGGGCGGCAGGAAGGGGGACGAGAAGTGAGGGCGGCAGGAAGGGGGACGAGAAGTGAGGGCGGCAGGAAGGGGGACGAGAAGTGAGGGCGGCAGGAAGGGGGACGAGAAGTGAGGGCGGCAGGAAGGGGGACGAGAAGTGAGGGCAGAACTGCAAACTGCCACCATGAGATCCCCACGAGGCTGCCTCGAACTTCCCAGCAAGCTCGGAACCTTATGGTAGCCAAATGGATTTAAAACTTTAAAGCGCCAGTAAATGCGGCCAATGACATATTTGGGTGGTGATGTCAGCCATCATCCCCAACCCCTCTGTTTACATTCAGCTGCAAGCCATGGAGTCTCCCACCAGCTAATTGGGGTCAGGGTGAGTCACTGAAGAAAAAATGTGGTTTTCTAGAACTGGGCTTTTACAATTAAAGAAGGAAAAATGAGGTATGTACTGCACCTTTCTGACTAGTCGAAGTGCCTGCGTCCTCTCTACTTCATTGCTTTGCTGAATATCTATGCACCTAAAAAGAAAAAACAAACTCAGGATTATCATAAGGAGAAGAAATGCTTTAAAATCACAGATTATATTGAATCAGCACTGGTTGTGGATCAGTACTATTTTAAAATGTTTCATGTTTATAAAGTAACTTAGTCTCTTGCTAGTCCAATTGCACCCTCTGTACCAACACCACTTATACTCAACATTCCCAGCACTTTTAACACTGCTGCATCAAAGCCAGCATTTAAAGTAGAACTCCGGGTTAAAATTTTTACTAACCCTTATAGTGGGGCTACCCCCACACTGCAAAGAGTAACTGCTCGTTTTTGCCTAGGGTGAAGGGAAAAAAAGGTTATAATTCCCTGATCCTCCGAGCCAGCCGACGGAGCCTTTCTCCCCCTTCCAGCAGTGGTCTAAGGTCCCTGAGTCATCACATTCTATACACTGTGTATAGGACGCGGAGGGACATACTATCGCTGCAGAGGAGGAGGAGAAAGGCTGGAGTAAAGTCACAGCCGGCTGGCTCGGAGCATCGTATGAGGATCCTAGGGTTATTTTTGAACTAGACATAAACGAGCACTTAACCCTTGCAGTGCAGGGGTGTTTCTCTACGTGCCATATTTGTAGAAATGGTTTTAGAAAGGGGAGGAGTCAGATAAATTATAATTGCTTTTAACCCCTTCGTGACGGGAGACGTACACTGTACGTCCAGCCACAAAGGGACCAAATGACTTGTCACGTACACTGTACGTGACGAGTTATTTGCTGCTTTAGAGGGCTGTTAATCGCTGAGAATCAGCTTTTAACATTCATTAATGGATGCCCTTACTACAGAGGCATTCATTAATGAAAGGGTTAACCTTTTTCAGACACCCGATACCTTAATATCGGGTGTCTGAGAGTCAAAGCAAAGCGGACACAGATGCCGGCTTTTGCCGGCATTCTGACAGCTCGTATAGATCGAGAGATATCTCTCTCAAGCTATACTGGCTTTTTTTTTTTCTTTCATGAATAGATACAAAATGTGTCTATTCCTACAATGTATCTATTCCTGGAAGAAGAATGTTTGTTTGCTGATCGTTGTTGCAACAATCAGAAAACATTTAGTAACAGCTGAATCCTGAACTGCTGCAGGATCAGTGTCACTAACTTATTATCGGCTGTTCTGAAGTTTGAAGCAGCCTGATAATAACCAAAAATTTATTAATTTATCATGCAGTAACAGTGAGATTAATTCACAAAATCTGCTTGATATAATTAAATAAATAAAATAACATTTTTAAGTTAAAAAAAA